AGTCAGGATTTCCAGTGATAATGTTCACTATTCCTAAGCAGCTCATTTGAAAAAAAAAATCCTATATTTATTAGGAATTTCCTCCTTTTGCTTTAGTGAGATGAAACTCATGTTTTTGTCCCCTCACAGACTAACCTGAGTTCAGCCTGAGGAATCGTATAGAATTTGACAGTCCTTAAAATGGGAGGTATAGCTTGGTTTTGGCATTATCTTTCTAAGCTAAACTTGCCAATATCTTTCAGTTATTTATTTGTGACATGTTTTGAAAATCCATGATTATCTTTCATTTCTTCTTGGGACAAATTTTGTTTTCTTTAAAAATAAACTGCCCAGAGCTGAATGAAAAATTGAAGACACAGTATAAATAGTAAGGATTGAGACTTGTTATTTTTTTTTCCATGATCAACTGGATGGGGAATGAATCTCAGTAGGAAGTGGCAGCAATAGAGAATATAGAAAGGGGGTGGATTCTAAATGTGTTTGGGCACTAGAGAGATTGTACAGCGGGTAGGGCACTTGCCTTGCACACGGCAGATCCGGATTAGATTCCCCGTATCCCAGAGGGTTCCTGGAGCACTTCCAGGAGAATTTCCAGGCTTCAGAGCCAGGAGTTCCCTCTCAGCATTGATGGGTATGCCCCGCAAACCAACTCCCCACCCCAAAACCAAACCAAATAAAAGCAAAACCAAATATGTTTTGGAGGTAGACTATCTGTTTAACAGATTGACTTAATTGGGAAGGGAAATGGGAAAGACAGACAATGATCTGTAGGTTTCTGATTTGATACTGGGTGGTATAATTGAAACATTTACTGGGATAGTGAAAAAAAAATAAGCTTATTTGGGGCCATGTATTGAGATGCCAGTGAGCCATTTGTCTCTTTCTTGTCTTTTCCATTGTGATTCTGTTGTTCTGCCTTTTTTATCAAAGAACTGAGGAGGCTGAGTTACCAAAATGCCCCAGACAGGAAAACTGGAAACTGCTTGGGTTAATGAGAAGCATGCTGTTGAGATGGGCTATAAAAACTCAGGGCGACAACAGTGGCTCTTAACAGTCCCAAGGCTTGTCAAGCTTCTCTGCTCGGTATTAGTTTCTGCTTCCCTAGGGGCTTCCCTTTGTGAATTTATTCACTGATAACCTGAATTTACCCAAGCAGTTGTTGAATTTCTCTCTGCTTCTTTTGTTCACCCACTTCCCTGTTTAAAAAACCCTGTCTTCAGGAGAAAGTCTGAATGATTTTGCAAGTTGTAAGGGCTCTCACAGAGCCTTTTCCTTTCACCAAATACCTTAATTTCCGTACCACTTACAGTGGGATCTCGCATTACCTGAGGTAAATTACTCTCTGCATTTTGATGTCTTCAGCTGTAGGATACGGAGGCCCTCTTTCCCCTGTTGTTGAAAGGTTCATTGAGGGACCGGAGCTGTAGTTACAGTGGGTAAGGTATTTGCCCTGCACGTGGCCAGCCTGGGTTCGATTCCCAGCATCCCATATGGTCCCCTAAGCACTGCCAGGAGTGATTCCTGAGTGCAGAGCCGTGAGTAACCCCTGAGCATCACTGGGTGTGACTCCGAAAGCACCCCCCCCAAAAAATAAAGGATCATTGATATTATGTAGATCTGAATTTAAGGTAGATAAGTCTGTGGGACCTTATCAATGCACATTAGCATTATTATCTTTTTACTGCTATGTTCCAAATTCCATTTGCTAGTCTTTAATTTTATTTATGTCTTTATGTATTTATTTGACTTGGGGACCTTCTCCTTGAGCCTCCTTTGGGAGTCATTCCAGACAGCTCTAGGGACCATGTTATTCTGGGGATTGAGAGTATGTGCACTGACCCTTTGGACTTTCTCCCCAGCTCCCCTGCCATTACTTAAATTCAACTCATGCTATCAGTAAGATTTCCTTGGAGTGTTCTTTCATTTTAGTAAAGTGGAAGTTGAATGAAAACTATACATCCCAGGGGGACATAGACCTTGTCTGCTTCATTATTTTTGTGTTCCTAGTGCCTGGTACAGGCCTGTGCTAGGTGCTTGGCAAGTACTCCAAGAATGAATGACTATTGTGCATTTGTAATAAATAGTCTTGAATAACTTAAAAATATTTATTTATTTTCTTTTGGAGCCACACCCCATGATGCTCGTGAATTATTCCTGACTCTGCACTAAGGAATTTCTCCTGGCATTGCTCATGGGACCATGTGGGATGTCGAGGATCAAATCCAGTTTGGTTGTGTGCAGGGCAAGTGCTTTACCTGCTGTCCTATTGTTCTGGCCCCCAAATTGAATATATTTAGATAATGTTTTTGCAATGTAGATTTATCTGGCACATTGAGTTGAAATTAATTAATTCAACAAACATTTATTAACATCTAAAATGTACCAGATGTTACTCTCTACTTCCCACCTGTTAACTGGGGATAGGAAAAGGGAGAAAAGGATAGGAAACCAGTAAGCTAAGGAATAGGATAGTTGTAGATAATATTGATAATATTAAGGAGAGTAGTGTTACAGGGAGTGTGGGGAAGTGCACAGGGGCACCCTAGGAAGTGAGCTGAGGTGGGCAGTATGAGAAGGTGGCTAGCCTTCCAGTAGCCAGAGGAGGGAATGAACTAGAGAGAGTTCATTAAGTCTGGAAAGCTAGTTGTGGGGTTAAGGTGCTTGCCTTACACCTGGTCAACCCTGGTTCCCAGCACCACATATAGTCTTTCTAGCATCACCAGGTGTGGCCCAACCTGGCCCCCAAATAAAAATCATATGCAACTCTTGTATTTTTGGGGGGTGGCCTTTTGGGTCACACGCAGTGATGCTCAGGGGTTACTTTCCTGGCTCTGCACTCAAGAATTACTCTTGGCGGTGTTGGGGAATGCCGGGGATCAAACCCAGATGGCCCACATGCAAAGCAAATGCCCTTCCCGATGTGCTATTGCTCCAGTCCCAGCAACTCTTGTAAAGACTATGTAAATACTGCTTTTTGAGTAGAATACTTTCAATGAATGAGAGTGCAAGTCAGCTTCATTGCTCAGTATTCCCTTTTGTGCTGGTTACTCCTCAATAAACAAGATAGGACAGAATTCTCTGCCTATAATTGTGAAGTCTGAATAACACTGGAATTTTGAGGTCAAGTGGGTAAATAAAATTTTTTTGTGTTTTATGATTATTTATTTTTGATATAGGGGCACACATGGCAATGCAGGAGTAACTCCTGACTTTGCACTCAGGAATTACTCCTGGCAGTGCTCAGGAGACCATATTGCAGGATGCTGAGGATTGAACCCGAGTCAGCCACATGCAAAGCAAATGTCCTACTCACTGTACTGTCTTTCCTGTTGCACAAATCAGTGTTTTTTAAATATATGAAATATATTTGAATCAACATTTTTTGATTCCTAGAAGCTCTTTAAAAAATATTTTTTAAGAAAGCCTTCTAGACAATTTCTATATTTTTTATTTATTAATTTTTTTTTAATTAGTGAGACACCATGAGGTACAGTTGTAGACTTACAAATTTTGTGCTTGGGTAATTTCTATATTTTTTATCTTGATTTTTCTCTTATCTATTTTTTTCTATTGAAATAGTATCACTCCTGCTCTTTAAAATGCTGAGAGTGAGGGACCAGCATGCTAATACAGCTGGTAGGATATTTGCCTTGCACGTGGCTGACCTGGGTTTGATCCCAGGGTCAAACCCCCATCCCATTTGGTCCCCCGAGTAGTGTTAGGAGTAATTCCTGAGTGTAGAGCTAGGAGTAACCCCTGAGCTTTGCTGGGTATGGACCAAAATGCCAATTTTTTTAAAAGGGAAAAAAATGAATAATAAAGAGTTGGGGGCCAGAGGCATAGTACAATGGAATATGGTGCTTGCCTTATACATGGCTGACCCAGGTTTGATTCTCAGCACCTCATCTAGTTCCTGAGCTATACCAGGAGTGATCTCTAAGCAGAATCAGGAGTAAGCCTTGGGCACAATAGGTTGTGACCTCCCCCCATTCCCCCCCCCCCCCCCCAGAGTTGGAAACTTTAGAATTTAATCATTTGGGTTATAGAGAATTTGGGGGATGGGGGTTTGGGCCACACCCAGTGGTGCTTAGAAGTCAGTTCTAACTAGCAGGCTCAGGGGGCCATATGCAATGGTGCTGGGGATCAAACCCAGTCCAGCTGCATGCAAGGCAAGCTCCCTATCCTATACTATCGCTCCGGCCCCAAGGTGTAGAGAATTTTGCCGAGAATTTCTGCGAACCTTGTACCTTCATATTGATTCACTCAAAGTAATCTTTTCTCTGGGACAATTATACTATATTTTCTATACACAGTTTTGAACTTTTAAATGAAAATATGATACAGTTGGGCCAGGGAGATAGCGCAAAGGGCTGAGCGCATGCTTTGCATGCAAGATACTGACATGTTCCCCCAAGCATCTCTGGGTGCGACACCCAAGCAGTGAGCTGAGATTAGACCCTGAGCACAATTATGTGTGTGTCCCTCACCCAAATATGATGCCTTTCAGTGGTATTACTTTAAGTTGTTTTCTATGTGCATATCTTTAGTGAACTAAGGTTCTTGTTCAGGGTGTATGCACTGCACTGCACTGTCCTCCTGTTGTTCATCGATTTGCTTAAGCGGGCCCAGTATCGTCTCCATTTTGAGACTTGTTACTGTGTTTGGCATATTGAATATGTCATGGGGAGCTTGCTAGGCTTTGCTGTGCGGGTGAGATACTCTCGGTAATTTGCCCGGCTCTCGGAGAGGGGCGGAAGAATCAAACCTGGTTTGGCCGGGCCAGCCGCGTATAAGGCAAACGCTGTACTGCTGTGCTATAGTTAAGATTATTTTTGTGCTTTAATGGAAAGTTAAATGTTCAATGGACTTGAGTACTATATCTTGGTGATTAAATACCTACAAAGAGTTGGACTCGCTTGACCCAATTTAGGGTTTTGTCTGCAGTAATGTGTTGTTTTTTCTTAATGAGTTTCTTTTATTTCTCATCTTCTTTTTAATAGCAACATCATGACAACAGAGAAGAGTTTAGTGGCTGAAGCCGAAAATTCACCACACCAGCAACAGAAGGACGAGGGTGAGGGAGCCACGAACTCGGGCCAGCAAGAAGCACACCTGGAAGAGGCTTCTCAAGCTGCCGCAGAGGGAGAGAATCAGTGTGAGCAAAAGCTGAAAACGTCCAATGGAGGGACTCCTACTCAAGAAGACTTGATCAGGAACAAGGAGCGGACACCTGAAAGTAGGGGCCTGTCACGGCTGTTCTCCTCACTTCTCAAAAGGCCAAAATCTCAGGTCTCTGAGGAAGAAGGCAGGGAAGTAGAGCTAAGTAAAGAGAAAGGGGAAGGAGATCAGACAGAGATAGAGTTAGGAAACTGTCTCGATGAGGAGATAATCTTAAAGGCCCCGATTGCAGCTCCAGAACCTGAGCTCAAGACAGACCCGTCCTTGGATCTTCATTCATTAAGCAGTGCAGAAACACAGGTGAGGAGATGTGAGCATGGGAGGCAGGAATGTGCTGTATTTTGCACTGAAGAACGATCACAATCACGATCATCCTGTTGTTCGTCGATTGCCTCGAGCAGGCCCCAGTAACGTCTCCTTCGTCCTAGACCTGAGATTTTTTTTAAAAAGTGCCATATTAAAGGCTCTTTCAGGGTTAGGAGAATGAGACCCATCATTGTTACTGGTATTAGGCATATTGGGTACACCACGGGGAGTTTGCCAGACTCTGCCGTGTGGGCAGATTACATTTGGTAGCCTTCCATTTTGTCCAAAGTAAGAATGAGATAATAAGATGTCGCGCAGCCGCAAATGCAGCCGCTTCCAGGAGCTGGGTTTTATAGTCTCTGGGTCTTGGCCGCTGATGGGATTACACGGCGCCAGGTGGCCAGTTGGTGAGTGTGACCCCTGCCTACTGGAATATGGAGGATCTGGGTGGAGGATGCTCAGCCTCTATCCAAGCAGGATTGGAGATCTCAGCCCCAGGACCCGCATGCCTTTATTCCTCTGCCGGTACCTTCATGTGTGCGGAGAGTGGTCTCAGCATGGTGGTGGCTGGTTCTGGAGGTCTTCGGCTGCCGGAGCCCTGGTCGGGTCGGGGAGGGAAACTCAACCCTCTGAAGAGCATTTGGTCGTATTCCTTACTCAAAGGTGGCTTACGTATTGATGGTTATAAGTAACTAGTTTTGGGGTTTTCACTCAGAAGAAATTAATATCGTCAGTAAGAACTTAGTTTTAAAAAAGATGGTGCTGGCAGACTGGGAGAGGGAAATGGGTCATTGGTAGTAGGAAATGGACACTGGTGGGGGAGGGGTGTTGGATCATTGTATGATTGGAACCCAATCATGAACAGCTTTGTGACTGTGTATCTCACAGTGACTCAATTAAAAAACTTTAAAAAAATTCTGTGTAGGGGCCAGAGCTATAGTAGAGAGGGTAGGGAGTTTAATTGCCTTACATGCAACTGACCTTGGTTCAATCCCCAGCATCCCATATGGTCCCCCCAGGAATGATTCCTGAGTGCAGGGCTAGGAGTAACCTCTGAGCACCACCAGGTGTGGCCCCAAAACAAAAACAAAAAAAGATACTATATAGCTCAAAGAATTTATCAAATGACGCATACATGTATAGTGCATCCCATATGATCTCCTGAGCACCTCCAGGAGTAATTTCTGAGCCAGAAGTAATCCCCGAACATCACTGGGTATGACCCAAAAAGCCAAAAAGAAAAATAATAAGAACAATGCAGACCATGGAAGGCTGGAGAGTGGGTGCAGTGGGTAAAGCACTTGTCTTGGATGCAGCTGACCTGGGTTCAATTCCTGGCAACCCCCCCCCTCCCCTTTGTTCCCTTGAGCATTGCCAGGAGTAATCTCTAGCACAAAGTCAGGAGTAAGCCCTGAGCACCACTGGTTGTGATCCCATCTCCCCCCCATTCGAAATCAATTTCCAAGCAAGAGAGGTGGTACTAGGGTTAGTGCACTTGCCTTGCATGTGGTTCAATTCCTGCATCTCTGAGCACAGTCAAGCATAGCCCCCAGCACTATAGGGTGTGGCGCCCAAATCACAAAGGTCACTTTCCTCTATATAACAAAGATAGTTTTATTTACTTTATTTGGCTAGTAGAAGAAGCAAAAGAGTTAAGCATGTAAAATTATTAAAGTATTGCCTGGCATACATCCAGGCACTTAATAATGATTATTCAATTGTTATTACTCAGTAACTATGAACAGTAAAGACAAAGAAACCCTGCAGGGCCTGAGCAGTAGTAAAATGGGAAGGGTATTTGTCTTGCACATAAGCACCTTGGGTTCAGTCCCTGATGCCCTGTTTGGTCCCCTGAGCATTATCAAGAGTGATGGTCCTCCTCCTCCTCCTCCTCCTCTGAGCATTGCCAAGAGTGATGGCCCTCCTCCTCCTCCTCCTCCTCCTCCTCCTCCTTGCACTCAGCTCACAGGGTTTGATCCTCAGCATCCCATATGATTCCCCCACCCCCCCCCCACACACACCCCGCCTAGATCCTCACACATTCAAGGCAAACATTCTACCACTCAACTACATCACTGGCCTGAGTGTCTCTATCCAGAAATTCTTTTTTTTTTTTTTTTTTTGCTTTTTGGGTCACACCCAGCAATGCTCAGGAATTACTCCTGGTAGTGCTTGGGGAACCATATGGGATGCCGGGGATTGAACCCAGGTTGGCTGCATGCAAGGCAAACGCCCTACCCACTGTACTATCGCTCCGGCCCCTATCCAGAAATTCTTATAAGTGGATTTGTGTTCTAGAACTGTATCTGTCTTTTTCTTGGGTACCTTGCATATTTAGAAGACGTGTCTCTTTTGTCTGGTTTTGGTTTTTGGGCTACCCCTGAATGTACTCAGGTCATGCTCTTGGCACTGTGCTTTGGGATCATCGGTAGAAGTGCTCAGGGGAACTTAGGTGGTGCTAGGAATTTCGATTGGTATTGGCGCAATGCAAGGCAAGTGCCTCACTTGTGTATTCTCTCTAGCCCATGTCTCAGTTTGTCAGGTTTATTAATTCAACAAATATTTTTGAAAATCTATTGTGTATGTCAGCTCTTAAGTATGCATTGGTCAATAAAAGCTATAGTATGGTGAAGAGGTTTTAGATTTCAAGTCCAGCTGACAAATGACTTATTAGTCTATCATTCATTTTAGGCAAGTTACTTTGACTTCTCCAACCTCAGTTCTTATCTGTAAGTGGGGATAATAATAGTATACTCTCTGTAGCATTATTATTAAGACAAAATGAGTTCATGTAAGTGATACTTTTAGAACAGTAACTAGCCTAGCCCATTGTGATTGCTATATAAATGTTTCCTATTGTTATTATAAAAAACAAACATGAACCTTATTCTTAAGAACTTTAATGGAGAAGACGGAAAAGTATCAGATACAAAATCATTATTGTAATAAATGTTATGAAGGCAACAGGGTACTTATTAAGTCTTAATATCACTTTGTTTTCCTTGAGTTAGTATTTTCAATAATATATATTATTATGCTGTAATAATATATACTAACAATATATATGAGGTGTGGCATTATAGAGCAATATATATTATATGAAGCATAAAAATCAGGGAGATAGTATAAAGGGTGGGAGAGCATGTTTGCATGTGGGGAACCCAGTTCAATCCCTGGCACCATGTGGTTCTCCTAGCACACTGTGAAAAGCCCCCAAGAAATAGTCTGGTAGTAGCCCCCAGTGCTGCCAGATGTGTGCCCAAGAGCAAAATCATCATCACATCATCGTCATCATAGTATTATAATGTTAACATTATTTTGGATAGAGTATGTACAGCATGCTTTGTGAAGTCTTTATTATTAACTTGGTCATGTCATGACTATGTAGCCAGCTCAGGAAGAACACAGAGAAGATCCAGATTTTGAAACCAAGGAAGGACTTGAAGAATGCTCTAAAATAGATGCAAAAGAAGAAAGCCCAGAAACAAAGGCAGAAAGAGAGTTAAAAGCGTCCCAGAAGTCTATCAGAAGACACAGAAACATGCATTGCAAGATATCTTTGTTGGACGATACTGTTTATGAATGTGTTGTGGAGGTGAGTTCAGTTTAATTTCCAGTAGCAAGGTCACACAGTCACGGTCCTCCTGTTGTTCATCGATTTGCTCGAGCGGGCCCAGTAACGTCTCCATTGTGACACTGTGTTTGGCATATCGAATACGTCACAGATAGTTTTCCAGGCTTTGCCGTGAGGGCAAGATACTCTCGGTAGCTTGCCGGGCTCTCCGAGAGGGGCGGAAGAATCGAACTCGGGTCGGCCAAGTTGGCTGCGTGCAAGGCAAATGCCCTACCGCTGTGCTCCTCCTCCAGCCCCCAGTAGCAAGAAACTTTGTAAATTATTTCATGTAGGATAGGTGATGTCAGGGCCTGACGTAAGACCCAGTACTGACTATTTTTATGGACTAAAGTGTTAATTTTTGCAGGTGAAAATATAGAGTATAAGTGAGTGTTATTTTCTTCTCCATTTTTTTTCTGTACCTGCCAAATCTTATAAATTGAGCATGTGTTACTTTTATGGTCAAAAACAGTTTTGTTTAATAAAAAAGGTTTTTTATTTATAGAGTGACCTTTCATGGCTGAATTTCCTAGGAATGCTTCAATTTCTGATATGAGTCCATCCATCCCCACAACTGTATCTGTGAAAGAAATTCTGATCTCTTCTCTTCTGCTTTCCTAGATTTATACCTTAATCACTGTAGTTAATGTATTTCTTCAGTTCCATGGGATAGCATAGAAGTTTTTCTAATAAAATGATGCTATTTCTTACAATTAGTATTTTTGAAGAGTAAGAAGTTAGTCACAGGGCCGGTAGGGCATTAGGAAGTTAAGAAGTTAGCTGGTAGGGGTTTGCCTTGTATGAGGCCAACTTGGGTTTGATCCCAGACATCCTATATAGTCCCCCAGCACTGACAGGAGTAATTTCTGAATGCACAGCCAGGAGTAACACCTGGGCATCGCCGGCTGTGACCCAAAAAGGAAAAAAAAAAAAAAGAAATTAGAATTGAACAAAAATGTTAGAATTATTTTGTTTTATTTTATTCTTTCAAGTCAAAAATCCTTAAAAATCTATTAGCTGTTTTACTCACCAGAGGAGTAATTGTCTTATAATAACATGTTTAATGTAAGACAATCATTATGGTCATTTGCTGAACTGATCGGATAGTACAGGGGCCAGGGCGCTTGCACATTTGATCCCTGGCACCTCATATAGTCCCGTGAGTCCCTCAAGGATTGATCTCTGAGTGCAGAGCCAGGAGTGAGCCCTGAACATGGCCTCTAAAACAAAAGGAAATTTTTTTAAAAAAAATTATTCTGTTTATTACTAATAATACCTTTATTGATAAAGCATATAACTCTCATCTAGTATTGTCTTGAGTATGTGGCAGGTTTTTTGTGAATTGTTTATTTGTTACAGCAGAAAATCAGTGCACAAGTAGTCAAAAACATTATTTTTTAAATTGTTTTTTCCTCTCCAAGTTCTAAAAAAGAAATCACAAAAAATATACTGTTATGCTTTTTTTTTTTTTTTGAAATGGGAACAGATTTTACTTACTGATTTTACTTGAAGATTTTTAGGTAGGGGAAAGAAGGAGAGAAAGTGAGAGAGAGTATTGCACTCAAGAGAGAATGCGGGCTTCTCCAAAGGTTGTGAGAGCCTCTGCATATACCCCAGCATCAGGTATGAAAGCATGAAAGACTACATCTCAAGAGGGGAGATGCAGATGACACATGTGCTGGGGCGCCACATGTGCCTGGCCACTGGGCACAAGCAGCACATGGACTCAGGCAGCATATGCTCCTATACTGTTATACTTAGAAAATAGCTAGTGTCCTGGTAACTGGAACTCACCTAGGATCTGTCCTTTCAGCTGTTCACTGTATAGGGTGAGTGGGAAGCTTCTTCACATGCATTCCCCCATTCAGACCAATATCCAGACACAGAACCTGTAAATGGATATTTAGAGTTAAAACAAAGGGGGAAATGAAGAAAGTGATGTACAATTGATGTGTTAATTCTGAAAACAAATGAACGTAGTTGTGAATTACTGTTAGTCATTGAAAATATCTCAGCTCATTGAAAAGGGCATGTTATTTATTGTGCCAAAAATTATTTCTAATTAAGATATTTTCTACTCTTAGTCTCAAAAAAATCATTGGTATAGTTGGTTTTTATTTGGGGTAGGGAGGTCATGTGGTACTGGATTCAAACCAGAGTTGCAGCCGCTACCTCATATTAGGCAAGAATGTGTAATAATACAACAAACCTTTGTATTATTTTTCTGGTCCCTACTTAATATTTCTTTGTCTAGAAAACAAATCCATTGCCAAATTATAATTCTTTCTTATGGTAGAAAAAGCCTTAATTCAGAGCTTGAGATTCAGAGTGAAAAGTTCTGTTGTTGGGCCCAAGTTCAACAAGTAAGGGTGCTTGCTTGCCTTGCATATGGCCAACCGGGATTTGATCCCCAGCATCCCATATGGTTCCCCAGCCAGGAATGATCCCTCTGTGCAGAGCCAGGAGTAAGGTCTGAGCACTGCTGGGCATGGGCTCAAAACAAAACAAAATTTAAAAAACCCATAAAGAAGAACTGGGAATGTGATGCGGCATTACAGATCTGGCCTAGTTCCCACCATCTCCATCTTTCCATTTCCCTCCCCCCTTTCTCTCTCTCTCTCTCTCTCTCTCTCTCTCTCTCTCTCACACACACACACACACACACAGAAAAAAATGAAGATAATTTTGATTTGAGCCACTATGTATAAATGATCTAAATTCTACTCTGCATTTTTCAGAAGAGATTATAGGAATTAAGACTTAGATAATTTTCTTGGGACATTGGTCTTGAAATGATTGATAGGGAATATAGTGATTTCCATTGCTGCCATGAATTGTCAGTGTCGACTATAGAGGTGGTTAATTCAGGTGGTCACGGTGACTGAGAGGAACACTTCGTGAGCTTCAGGAAATAGTACATGAAAAGAGGTCGATATTTAGGCTGCCAGTGGGGGATAGTAGATTTGAAGGAAGGTTAAATATATTGCTTTGGATCACAGAACTGTTTCCAAGAGTGTTGAATATTTAAACTGACAACTAAGAAACAAGATTTTGGTAATTCCTATTGGTCTACTTACCCTGTGTAGCCATTTGAAAATGTTAATAACCAAGGATGAAAGAGAAAATTGGAAAATGACATTTCATTTTAATTCGTGAGGAATACAGATACAAGAGGAAACTTCAACTAAAGTATGTGTATCTTTGCAGAAACATGCTAAGGGACAAGATTTGCTGAAGCGAGTATGTGAGCATCTGAATCTTTTGGAAGAAGACTACTTTGGTCTAGCCATTTGGGATAATGCAACTTCTAAGGTAAGGAGACTAGAGAAAGAGGATGATCAAAACTTACTTTAATTCTTTTGTTGTTAATGTATTTATGTTAGGGCTGGAGAGATAGAACAGTGGGTAGGGAGCTTGGCTTGTAGTCAGCTGACGGTTTTGACCCCTGGCACCCTGTAGGGTCCCCTGAGTCTTCCAGGAGTGAGCCTTGAACACCTCTGGGTGGGCCCCCCCCAAAAAAAGAATACCCCAAGACAATATATTTATGCCTACCTATCCAAGACACACAGCAGAGCCTGGCAAGCTACCCGTGGCATATTTGATATGCCCAAAACAGTAACAATAATGGGCCTCATTCCCCTGACCCTGAACGAGCCTGAGAGGCTGCTAAAATTTTAGGCATGAGAGGCTGCTAAAATTTCCAGATACTCTCTCTCTAAAAGTACGTAGCTATTCAGGAAAGATTAAAACTATAAGGCAGTCCTTTATGTTTCTAAATGTCTGGCCATTTTGAAAGCACAAAGAATACTGGTACTGCCGATATTTAGGCCTTACCCCCTGGTTTGAGACGAGAAGAGTGAGAAGCTTCCTCCAAGACACAGCCCTTTTAGTCCAAGGCTCCTGCTACCCCTTTCTGCAGGATTCTCCTCTTCAGTGTTTGCATTCCTCTTTCCTTGGCTATTATAGTTTATCTTCTTTTTAAAAAAAAATATCTCCAGGCTTACTCCCTCTCATTGTGGGGGATATGTGAGTCATATTACAATGAGAGAGAAATCTCTGTTTCTGTGTGCACTCTCTGGTTTCTCCTTTCAGCATAGGTAAATATTTGGCCTTCATATATGTTGCTTCTTTTCCCAATGAGCTTCAGGGTCTGTGTTTTGTTTGTAGACAGTTGCAGCAAGGGGAGTTAATTGGACCAACTTTTTTCCTCACTTGGAAAGGCTTGCTCTCTTTCCCTGTATTACCAGGCTGAGTCTGGCAAGACAAGAGGAAAAGCAGCCTGAAACTTCTCTTGCTTTCGAGAAATTTATTGCCACTGTGATTTAAGGTTGTATGAATTAAATAGTCACTTCCTGTATTTTATTCCTGCTTACAATTATTTATGAATAAATAAAGCAATTTTTTTCTTGGAGGAAATGCCACACATATTACTTCCTTTCCTCCATCCTCCCAATTCCCGAAGCAAAAAAAAAAAAAAACAGCTCTTCTGGTAAAAAATGAGAATTTACAATAAAAGGAAAATACAGTGTAATCACTCATGATTTTCTTTCTCCTGCTTTTTGTGTGGGTGTAAATGAATTGTTTGGTGGTGCCGGGGCTTAAACCCAGAGCTTCACATATGCAAGTCTTAAAACTACTACTGAACTACATCCCCAGTCTGCATGTGACTCTTATCTTTAATTGGGTGGGGAGTTTTTTTTCAACCATAACGGTGCATGCTTGGGCGCGAGGATGGAGGTGGGGGTGGAGGGATGGTACTACCCTCTGCTCTGTGCTCTGGGGACTCCTGGTACTTGGAATAAAATCAGGTTTAACCTCATGCAAGGTAAGCGCCTTAACCCTTCTCTCTGGCCCAAGGCTTTCCTTAAAGACCCAGAACACCTGAATTCTTGCTCCTATAAACATAGAGTGGTGATTTGTAACCATCATTTAGTCATCACACCAGCAGCAGCATGAACAGTGAGTGATTCCTTCATTTAAGGAAGCAAGACTTCACTTCAAAAGACAAGCATTTTGCAAGTCCTTCCTATGTATGCAGTCATGCTTCCTCCCATTGATACCACATTTTTAAGCCTTGAATGACTCCCCTTTGCCTAGGCCTTTAGTAAAGTTTCCATTTCTAGCATGGAATGCCCTGCCCTGCCCTCGTAGCCTGGCCTTACCATTCTTATCTCTGTTCTGTTCCCTCCCTGTATCTGTGTCCCAGCTGCGCTCCACATGCCCAACTAGACTTTCTGCCTTTATCTTCTTACCTGTCCGAATAACCCTTGTTTGCCCTTTGAGCCTCCTCTTCAGATCTCCTAACCTTCTTTTGAGAAACATACATGTCTCTTTCCCAGTCCATTTTGGTGTACCTCCGTGTGCTCTTGCCATGTTCCGGGCTCTGTCATAGCACTCCCACACATTTCTGTCATAGTAATGCTTCATAACTTAGAACATGTGTTTAGTGTTCATCTCTTTTCCTAAGCTCCTTGAAGACAAATGCTACTTTTAATTTCCTTTTTGAAACTGTGGTGCATAGTACATGGAGGCATTATTTTTTGATGGTGCTGGGGATCGAACCCAGGCTCTCACAGTGAAGGAAGTGCTGAGTGCTGAGTGATATCCCTGCAGACCTGGAGGAACCTCTCAAATATCTGTTGACTACATGAGCTGCTGTGGATACAGTAATTCGTCATCAAAGTACTGGTGCTGGGCTGAGCACACGCTGTGTACAGAAGCCCCGGCTTGGTCACAGGCACCGTAGTCCCCCAGGCCCCACCCAGAGGCACTTTCCAGTCTGAGTGGGCAGTTGAACTTCTTCTCCCCCTGCCCTGCCTGTGTGACCCAAACAAACGATAATGGAAGAGGGTCAGGATATAGCCCAAAGGACTGGAGTAAATGCTGTGCGTGTAGGAAACCTGCATTTGATCTCTATGTATCACAGTCCCCCACGCACTGCCAGGGAAACTGTGGAGCACTGAGCCTGGACTAGCCTCTAGTACCTTCAGGGGTTGTGCCCCCCACCTAAAATACAAGTTTCAGGACCAGTAGTACAGCGGGTAGGGCATTTGCTTTGCATGTGCTGACCCGTGTTCAATATCCAGCATCCCATATGGTCCCCCAAGCTCCGCCAGGAGTATTACCTTGGTGCAAAGCCAGTAGTTACCCCTGAGCATCACCAGGTATGACCCCAAAAAGCAAAAGAAAAAATTACCAAACAACAACAAAAACAAGTGCCACTTCAGGCCAAATTGATATTTGGCCTGGGATTTTGGCTTCTATTGCCAAATGGTGAGAAATTTTAGCTTCAATTCTTTTTTTTTTCTTCTTGGCTCACACCCAGCATTGCACAGGGGCTACTACTCCTGGCTCATAACTCATGAATTACTCCTGGCAGTGCTCGAGGGACCATATGAGATGCTGGGAATTGAACCCAGGTCTGCCCTACCTGTTGTGCTGTCACTCCAGCCCCTTAGCTTTGATTCTTTTTTTTTTTATATATTTTTAATTTTTTTAAATTTTATTTTAATGAATCACTGTGAGATACAGTTAGAGACTTACAAACTTTAGTGATTGTGTTTCAGTCATACAAGTACCCATCCCTCCACCAGTGCCCATTCTCCACCCCCGATGTTCCCAGTATCTCTCCCACCTCCCCACCACATTCCCCCCCCCACCACCTCTGTGGCAGGCACATTCCCTCTTACTCTCTCTCTCCTTTTGAATGTTATAGTTTGCAATACAGGTACTAAGTGGCAATCATGTTCTGTCCATCGTCTGCTTTCAGCATGCATCTACCATCCCGAGTGAGCCCCTCAACCACCAAATTTAGCTTTGATTCTTTTTTTTTTTTTTTTTTGCTTTTTGGGTCACACCCGGCGATGCTCAGGGGTTACTCCTGGCTCATGCACTCAGGAATTGCCCCTGGCGGTGCTCAGGGGACCATATGGGGTGCTGGGAATTGAACCTGTGTCGGTCATGTTGGCTGCGTGCAAGGCAAACGCCCTACCCGCTGTGCTATTGCTCCAGCCCCAGCTTTGATTCTTAATGGGTTATGGAATCCCTTTAAGAAAACTGACAACTGCAGGTTATTTGGGGAGATTTCTCTTAAAGATAATGGAAAATAAGTGGTTGCCTGGTTAGGGTAGGAGATGTTTATTCCAAAGTGAAAAAAAATTAGTGTGTGTATTTTTTTTTTGGCATATCTGATCATTTTTTTTTAAATAATTTATTTCTTTATTGAATCACTGTGGGAAAAGTTACAGAGCTTTCGGGTTTAGGTCTCAGTCATGTAAGTATCAAACACATTTCCCTAAAAACTTTTTTTTTTTTTTGCTTTTTGGGTCACACCCGGCGATGGTCAGGGGTTACTCCTGGCTCTGCACACAGGAATTACTCCTGGCGGTGCTTGGGGGACCATATGGGATGCTGGGAAGCGAACCGGGGTCGGCCATGTGCAAGGCAAGCGCCCTACTCACTGTGCTATCACTCCAGCCCCGTGTGTGTATTTTTTTTTTCTTTTTAACCTGAGGTCAGAATTGGAGGGAAAAAAATAAAACATCTCAGGCTAGGTAGACAGCTCAAAGGACTAGAGTGTATGTGCTGTGTAGAGTGGTCCTTGGTCCAGTCTCCAATGTTGCATGATCCTCCAAGCACCAGTAGCTTATTGTCAGAACAATGAAGATCTGGGTAATGCCAGTAAATCCTGGTTGTAGATCTTTACTAAAAAAGTTTTTTTTTTTTTTTGTAAAGACACATTCAGCAGTACTCAGGGCTTTGCATTCAGGGATCACTCCTGGTGGGGTCTGGGGGACTGAATATATGGGGTGCTGGGGATTGAGCCTACCTCTGCTATGTGCAGGTAAGCACCTTACCCACTGTACTATCTCTTCAGCACCTCGCTTACCTTTAGAGATAATGAAAACAGCAAATGCTTATTTAGAATTTCTTATTTATTAAAAACTTTTAGATACAGCTCTGTATAAGCTTATTCCATCCACATAGTTGTGAGATTGGCACTACTACTAATACTGTTTTATAGATGAGTGAGATAGGGAACACAGATGCCTAAAATCACGCACGCTAGGAAGTAATGGAGCTGGAATTCCAGCCTAACTCTTGGGTTCCCTATTTCTCTGCTTAGAATTACTTCTGTGCTCTCTGAAATTAATATAGAGTATCAGAAGAATACTGTAGGCAGGACCTGAAGATGGTCCATAATAAGCTTCCAATACTCTGTGGTTTTTTTGTTCAGAAACTGTGTCTGAATGCCTTTTCTCTTTTTTTACAGACATGGCTGGATTCTGCCAAAGAAATAAAAAAGCAGGTTCGTGGTAAGTGAATATAACCTTTTTCACAGTTCTTCCTTTTAGTAGGTCAGAGGATTTCCAACCACCTTCTGGTTGTGAGTCACTTTAGAATCCTGACCATGACAGATGGCTTTGAAATGGAGATAAAGCCTCCCCTGGAAGGAGGAGATTCCGTAACAGAAAGGTACAGCAGAGGTGGGGGCTTGAGATGTAGGTCAGATCCTGATGATGCTTTTTACAACTTGGCAAAGCTGGGGAAGGTAGGAATGGTGGAGAGAAACAGAAGGTGGAAAAGAACAAAGATGAGAGGAGAAAAAGGATATGGGAGTCAGCTCTCCAGGGGTAGAGATGGAAACTGTAGTCGCCTGCAATTAGTTCGCTGCATGATTCTGTTCTTTTAAATCGAGCTGGACTCTTACGTTCTAACCTTCTCTGTGTTTTCCTTTCTACAGTTCCTTTGTCCCTTTTCAACAGTCTTCTGCAAAATTGAAGTGTAAGGGACCATGGAAGGGGGAGAAAGAGGGCGGGGGATAGAAAAATAAGAATTCCTGTCAGTGCTCTCTGGTGTGGTTTTTCTTCTTATCTCCAAGCCCTCTTGCATATAATACTGGTGCACATGCTGTTCAGACTGGTGTTCCAGGGTACTGTTTCAAGATTGGGGGTGGTGGGATGGTGTTTAGATTAGCATTTTGTAGTCCCAAACCCATTAGGTCAAGGGACAGAGACTCTTTCCCCTCGTCAGTGACCAACTGTTCTTTTATTTTTATTTATTTAATTTATTTTTAGATGTCCTTTTCATTAAGCTTATTTTAAAAGAAACTAATAAGAACTGAAATAGGTATTACTCTCACATGAAAACAAATTTTGTTTTTCTTTGGTTTTTGCTTCCTTGGCTTTTGTTTTGGTTTCTGTCACCCCTGGCATGCCCAAGGATTACCACCCGCTGTGTGCTCTGATGTTCTCAGTGCTCTGGAGACCATGCAGTGCCCCAGATCAAACTAGGGCTCCGAAATGCAAATATGTGCTCAGCCCATTGAACTATTTCTTTGGCCCTTTTCACTTGTTGCTTAAACTATAACACATTTGGGCTGAGGAGATGATTCAGAGAGCTAACGCACCAGCTTTGATGTGGGGATCTTAGGTTTGATCCCATCTCCAAATGGTTCCCTGAACACTCCAGAGTGGCCCAAAAAGGAAGAATATACAACTAAAAACCACATTTCGTCATGATGAGAAGCAAAATACTCCTTTTAGAGCTGGAGCCATAGTACATTGGGTAGGGCTCTTGCCTTGTATGTGGACAACTGAGTTTGATCCCCAGCACTATCTGTATTTCCCAGAGCCCTGCCAGGAGTGACCCGTGGCAGAGTCACAGAGCTGGGCAATGTCCTGAACGTCACCAAATATAGCCCTAAAACAAAACAAAAGACTTGTTTTGATGGGCAGTTCTTCATGATTTGCTTTCTTCTAATAAAAATCTTGTTTTAAAATGCAAGTTAGGGGTTCAGAGAGATAGTCCAGGGGTAAGGCACTTGCTTTCCCTGTGGCCACTCTGGGTTTGATCCCCAACATCTCGTTTGTTCCCCTGAGCACCACCAGGAATGATTTGTGAAGACAGGGCCAGAAGTAACCCCTGAGCATCGCCAGGTGTAACCCCAAAACAAGCAAAAAGTACAAAAATTATTCACAACCTGAAGGCATAACAAGAAAAACAACTCTAAATTCCTTTTGTTGAAAATAGTTTTAACATTTAATATTATTCAGGTATAAATAATGGTATAAGAAGATGCTTTAGGAAGAAAATTTTTAGCAGCTTATAATGAGTGGAAAGTAGCTAGTATATGGTCTTCCTGGCTGTGAAAAAAAATCTCTTGCTAAGAAAAAACACTGTCATTTAAAAAAAAGTTACAGGGCTAGAGTGATAGCTCAGTGAGTTGGAGCACATTCTGCATGCAGAAACTCTGGGTTTTTATCCCTGTACTACATAAGAGTCTGGGGTCTTATCCCTGTACTGCATAAGAGTAACCCTGAGCACTGAACTAGGAGTAAACCATGAGGTTTAGCTCAAGTCCTCCTTCCTAAATGAAAAATAAAATAAATTGCAACATTACATGGAAGGGCCAGAGAGATGGTACAGTGGGGAAGGCACTTGCCTTATGCATGCTTCCTAACCAGGTTCAATCCCCGGCGTCCCACATAGTCCCTTGGGCACTGCAAGGAGTGATTGAAAAATTTAAAAAATTATAGACATGTAGAGAAAATTTGAAGTTCTAATTCCATCTTCCCATAAAACCACTGTAAAGGGGACTGGAGCGATAGCACAGCGGGTAGGGTGTTTGCTTTGCACACTGCTAACCCGGGTTCAATTCCCAGCATCCCATATGGTCCCCTGAGCACCACCAGGAGTAGTTCCTGAATGCAGAGCCAGGAGTAACCCCTGTGCATTGCCGGGTATGACCCAAAAAGCAAAACAAAAACCACTGTTAAATCTATATCATTTGCAGGATATTTTTTCCTAGGTATATATAATTTTGTTTTTCAAAGATAGAAGTATGTGGCAGGTCCTCTTCTGGACCAGAAGCTTGCCACTGTAGGGGAGAGGGGAACAGATCAGGGAAAGAACCTCTGTCCATGACCAAGCTCTTAACTTACAGTTAAGCGTTATGGCACTTTGGCCAGGCCCATTTCGATGCCAGGGTAGCACATAGCTCACCGCTTGCCCTGTGTCCATCCAGTCCCCTGTTGGAACCCTGCTTTTGGGGTGCTAGGAAGTAAGGGCAACTGAGGCTTAAGTTGAGAGAACAGATATCCAGGAGGAAAATATCATTCAGAGCCAATTAAATCCCATGTTACAAAAGCGTAGCATTTACTGTCTTCTTATGTCCATACAAAAAGGACATTGCTCTGAATTAACTACGCAAAGGACTTAAGAAGAAGAGAAAAACAATATTTACAAGTTTACAGAGCACAGAGAAAGAAGTTACAAATAAACACAGAGGAATGGGAGCACTCTGATAGGAGTAAATCAGTAAACCTAAGCTTCCTGTGGCAAGGTGGAAAGGACAAACCAATGTTATCCTACAGACCTACAACAATGATAGAGGGAAGTGGTCACTCTGGACGAGGACTGGGTGCAGAAGGGAGGGAAAGGGATATGCCTGATACTCTCTCAGGAGCGCTGTTATAAACCACTGTGCTCAGTAGAGAAAAGAAAAAGAAAAAATACCTGTCCCAGAGGCAGGCTGGCGGGGGGCGGGGGTGCAGAAACTAGGACACTGGTGAAGAGAAGCAGACACTGGTGAAGGGATTGGTGTTGGAACATTGTACACCTAAAGTTCAGGTACGAATTTTGTAATAGAGTTTTAAGATTTTTTTTTTTTTTTTTTTTTTTTTTTTGAATCAAACCCGGGTTGGCCGCGTGCAAGGCAAACGCCCTACCCGCTGTGCTATCTCTCCAGCCCCAGGAGTTTTAAGAATTTTAAGGACTGGAACACATCCATGCATATTTGAGGCCCAAAGTTCAGATCCCTGACATCAAATACCCTCTGAGAACTACTGATGAGTCTCCCCAATAAATTATATTCACTGTCACTGTCCTCCCATTGTTCATCGATTTGCTCGAGCGGGCCCAGTAACATCTCCATTGTGACAATTGTTACTGTGTTTGGCATATCGAATACACCCCAGGTAGCTTGTCAGGCTTTGCCATGCGGGCGAGATACTCTCGGTAGCTTGCCAGGCTCTCCGAGAGGGGTGGAGAAATTGAACTCGGTCCGGCCATGTTGGCTGTGTGCAAGGCAAATGCCTACTCGCTGTGCTATTGCTCCAGCCCAATAAATTATATTTATTTTTAAATATAAAATTAAAAGAGAGGCCAGAGTAGTAAGTGAAAAGGTACTTGCCTTTCATGCAGCTGGTCCTGATTTACTCCCCGGCACCAGAAGCTCCCTCAAGCAGTGCCAGTAGTGACCCCTGAGCACAGATCCGGGAGTTGCTTCTGAGCAGTCCCAGATGTGGCCAAAAACCCTGCCTCCTGCAAAAAAATAAAATGAAGGTTTTAGATGAGTATAATATGTTCTGTTCTTTATGTATTGTGAATTGATTATTATATTTACATAATGATAAGTTTTAAATAGTTTAGTAAGTAGATATTTTGTCATGCTTTTTATTTTTTTTGGGGGGGTCACACCTATCAATGCACAGGGGTTACTCCTGGTTCATGCACTCAGGTATTACTCCTGGCAGTGCTCGGGGGGGGTGGGGACCATATGGGATGCTGGGAATCGAACCTGGGTTGGACGTGTGTAAGGCAAACACCCTACCCACTGTGCTCTCACTCCAGCCCCTGTCATGCATATTTTAATATTGACATATAACTAATGTGTTTTATATATTCATATAAATATGTGACCCTTTTTTTTTTTTTTGCTTTTTTGGGTCACACCCAGTGTTGCACAGGGGTTACTCCTGGATCTGCACTTAGGAATCACTCCTGGTGGTGCTCGGGGGACCATATGGGATGCTGGGAATCAAACCCGGGTCAGCCGCATGCAAGACAAATACCCTACCCGCTGTGCTATCGCTCCAGCCCCATCTTTAATATAGTTTTTAATACTCTTCATAAAAATACATAATGATTTTTTTTACATTTTTCCCCCACCAACAAAATAGTTTTATTTGGAAACAACAACAACCAAAAATAATTTGGAACATGCATTCTCATGGCAAAAAAACTCATGCACTTCCCCCTGCATTGCCAACTGAACTCCTTTGAAGAGTTTTAGATGACTCTATATTTAGCGCTTAATGGTATTTATCTGACCAGTCAGTTCTATTGATTGACATTAATCAATTTATATTATTATGTAAGTAATGATATTTATATAACCAGTTATATTGATTGACATTTGGTATTAAGGTAAATAGTTTTATATAACACTATTATAGTATATTCATTTACTTTTGGTTTTTGAGCATCCTGTGCTCAAAAAAAAAAGGACTTATTTTTGGTTCTGTGCTCAGCAGTCATTCCTGGCAGGACTCAGGAGATTGTATAGGATACCAGGGATTGAACCTGCGTCAGTCACAAGCAAGGCAAGCGCTACATCATATGCCGTACTATCACTTCAAACCCTCCATGATATTTTTAAATTATTTTTGTTGTTGAATTTTCTTGGTGGGGTAGGGCATACCCAGTAGTACTGGGTTGGTTATCTCTGTTTTTTGCTTTTTTGTTGGGAAGACCAGGAAATGCTGGGGCTTGAACTCAGGCCTTACTTTCAACTAATTCTCCAGTCCCTAAATGATTTTTTTATTTGTTACATTAAGAGATGGAGTTTATTTAACATTTTTTGATAGACTGAACATGAAGATCTAAGAACTACCTCAATCATAGTTTTTCCACAAAAAAACTCTCTTTAAAGATTCCTGGCAACTTCCTATCATGTCATATTATCATATTGTCTCTGCAATTTCAAATAAAATTTTACAGAATTTTCTCAAGGACATAAAACTACAGAAGCTAATGATCCATTTAGTCTTTTTTTTTTAATTTAATTGAATCACTGTGAGATAGACCCTTACAAAGCTGTTCATGATTAGATTTCAGTCAGACAGTGTTCCATCAACCATTCCTCCACCAGTGTACATTTCCCAGCACCAGTGTCCCCAGGTTCCTTTCCACCACCTCCAGCCCCACCACCCCCTTTAAATGATTTTTATTACACATGAATGTGTGCCTAAAAACATTGTTTTCCCTTCTCGTTTTTTGTTCACACCCAGTGGTGCTCAGGGCTTACTCCTAACTCTGCATTCAGGGATCATCCTGGAATGTCTCGGGCTACCATATGGGGTGCCAGGGATAAAACCCAGATTGACCAGGTGGAAGGCAAGCACCCTACTCATGACATTATTTCTAGACATTGCTAAAACTGACCCATAAACAAGAGAAGAATGAAGGTATCAAATGCTCAGGCTGCATATAATAAATAAAACAGGACCACCACTTCGATACCAATTTATATTGTTTGGTTTTTTGGTTCTGGGCCATACCCAGCAGTGCTTAGGACGCTCCTGGCTCTCTTCTCAGGGATGGCTCCTGGTGGTGGTTGGGGGAGCATGCCATGCTGGGAATTGAACAGGGGTTGGCCACATGCATGGCAAGTACCTTTACCTGCTGTGCTGTCATTCCGGTCCTTGTTTTGCCCTATTCAACATCTTTTTCATTTATTTATTTATTTATTTATTTGTTGTTAAATTTATTTATTGAATCACCGTGAGAAAAGTTACAAAGCTTTCAGGTTTAAGTCTCAAGTCATACAATGATCAAACACCCATCCCTTCACCAATAATTATTTTTCACCACCAAGAACCCCAATATACCCCCCTCCCACCCTTCCCTCCCCTCCTGATGCCTGTGAGGCAGATGATTTCTACTTAATTTTCCCTCTACTTTGATTACATTCATTAATAGTAAAAAATAATAAAGGCCCTCCCGTTGTTCATCGATTTGCTCGAGCGGGCCCAGTAACGTCTCCATTGGAGACTTTGTTGTTACTGTGTCTGGCATATCGAATACGTCACGGGGAGCTTGCCAGGCTCTGCTGTGCGGGCGAAATACTCTCGGTAGCTTGCCGGGCTCTCCGAGAGGGGCGGAGGAATCGAACTCAGGTTGGCCATGTTGGCTGCATGCAAGGCAAACGCCCTACCCGCTGTGCTATTGCTCCAGCCCTAAAAAAATAAATAATGTTTACATTCATCATTTCAACAAAAGATGCACCATTATTGTTTGGAATTACCCCACAACAATCAGAAATGCTGAAAAGGCATTGTGAAATCATTCGTTTTCTATTGCTGGTTATGAAAACCATATGATGTCTTATCACGGCCATGTGATTTTGGATTTCTGATATTTTAATAATTAAGTCTGGAGGGATTTCTGCCAAAAGCCGGATAATTACGAGATTGTTTTTTGTACCTCTTGTGCCATGGCCATGCCGGAGATCCACTCGTGGGGGGCAACTCATGGCCTCGGTATGGCATGAAGGATATGCCGGTTCCGCCCCCCATCCCATGAGGCTGCAGTTGCCCCATCACCACCGGCTCATGCTTGGCTGTCCAATAAGCATTGAAGCAGCGGCCACCGTGCTGCTGGGGGGGAAAAAGCAGAAGAGACAGACACTCTTTCCCTCTTTGGGGGGCTTGGCGCCGTAATTTAATGTATAGTCCATTCACATTTCTGCCACAAGCTGCTGGGCTCTGGATTAGGTCCTTGTGTCTCTGGTGCCATGGCCATGCTGGAGAGCCACTCGTAGGGGGCAACTCGTGGCCTTGGTAGGGCGTGAAGGATGTGCCAGTTCCACCTTCCATCCCATGAGGCTGCAGTTGCCCTGTCACCACCGGCTCATACCTGGCTGTCGAATATGCTCTGAGGCAGAGGCCACCGTGTTGTGGGGGGCGGGGGGGGAGGGGACAAGGCGGAAGAGAAAGAAACCTTTTCCCTCCCAGGGGGCATGGCACCGTAGTTTAATGCATAGTCCATTCACATTTCTGCCGCATACTGCTGGGCTCTGGATTAGGTCCGTGTGCCTCTGGTGCCATGGCCGTGCCGGAGAGCCGCTCTCAACATCTTGTATCTTATACTGTCACTGTCATTGTCCTCCCTTAGTTCATCGATTTGCTTGAGCGGGCCCAGTAACATTGTGAGACTTGTACATAAATTTATATTTAAAGTTCTCTTTTTTTGTAAGAAAGTTACCAGATAGTTTTTCTGACCTAAGTGCCATTTAGAGTTTTAGGGATATGAAATATTATAAGTGGGTTGATCGTAGGTATTATGATTGATTGGATTTGAGATAACTTTGTTTTTTTTGGCTGCAGTTGATCCTTAAAAAGTTCAAATACAGGGGCTGGAGCAATAGAACAGTGGATAGGGCGTTTGCCTTGCATGTAGCTGACCTGGGTTCGATTCCCAGCATCCCATATGGTCCCCTGAGCACCGCCAGGAGTGATACCTGAGTGCAGAGCTAGGAGTAACCCCTGTGCATTGCCGGGTGTAACCCAAAAAGCAGCAAAAAAAAAAGTTCAAATACAGGCTGGAGAGATAGCACCAGGAGTGATCCTTGCGCATGCATAGATCCAGGAATAGCCCCTGCTTACCAGTCATGTTTGGTCCTATAGTAGAACACACAAAAAGTTCAAATATTGGTCCAAGGAGAGAGCTCAAAGGGCTGGAATGTAGCTTTGCTGATGGGATCTTGAGTTTGATCCCTCCCTGGCCTCCCTACGTATCGATGGGGATAATAGCTCTACTGGGCCCAAGCACTGAACTGTCTGCCCCACACAACTCACTCAGTTATCACTGTGAGTAGCCCCTGAGATCCACTCTTAAATGGTGTCTGTGGTATAAAAAAATTTTTTTTGTTAAAATAATATTTTAATCATAGGACATGAAAATATAAAACATGGGTTGGAACGAAGAACATTTTAATATTATTGAGTTATTTTAATAATCAGAAACTCGGGCATTAGCATAAAATTTCTTCTGTTTATTTTTATAGGCATCCCGTGGAATTTCACGTTTAATGTAAAGTTTTACCCACCAGATCCAGCACAATTAACAGAAGATATAACAAGGTAAATAATGTATTAGTAGTTCAATAATTTATTAATTCTTAATTAAACAAGCTAGTAAGTTTCGTTTTTAGGAACTCTGGGAATTTTCCTATTCAGAATTGAAAAAAAAATGATGTGTAATTAAATCTAAACTAGAAAGTTTCTGATGATTTCACAACAGCTTGCAAATGAATGAGCCTTGAAAATCTCAAGGACCCTAAAATAAAGCAAAAACAAAAAGGGGGTGATGCAAAGAGATAGTATATTGGTCAAAACTCTTGTCTTGCATGCAGAAACCAAGTTCGAATCCCCAACACCACTTATGGTCCCCTGAATACCTCCAGGAGTGATTCCTGAGCCCAGAGTCAGAAGTAAGCTGGAACTCTGCCAACCATGGCCCCAAAACAAATAAGCGAACAAATGAAGAGTCTCAGATATCTGTAATTTTAATTCTTAATTTTAATGCTTAATTTTATGCCAGGCTAGAGCAACAGCACAGCGGGTAGGGCATTTGCCTTGCATGCGACCAACCCGGATTCGATTCCTCCACCCCTCTCAGAGAGCCTGGCAAGCTACCGAGAGTATCCTGCCCGCACAGCAAAGCCTGGCAAGCTCTCTGTGGCGTATTCGATATGCCAAAACCAGTAACAACAAGTCTCACAATGGAGTTGTTACTGGTGCCCGCTTGAGCAAATCGATGAACAGCGGAAGGACAGTGCTACAGTGCTAATTTTATGTCAACATCTAATAGGACACCTATAAACCACACCACTTTCCAAAGGCCCTCCCCCCCAAAAGGCACCATGTGCATGCACAATGAACTAGCCTCACTGTATGTGTTTTTTTTTTCATTTTTTATAATTTTATTTATTGAATCACTGTGAGAGCAGTTACAAAGCTTTCTGGTTTAAGTCTTAGTCATAAAATGAAACATCTGTACCTTCACCAGTGCCTATTCTCCACCACCAAAAACCCCAGTATACCCCCATCCCAAACCCTCCCCCTACCTGTGGGGCTGATTATTTTCACATTACTCTCTCTCTACTTTGATTACAATCAATATTTTGACACCTGACTCACCATTATTATTTGGGATTTTACTCCAACACTCGTATCTGCTGAAAAGGCAACAGTAGACAATTTGTTTTCTATTGCTCATTAAGAATAACATATGTTGCATGGCTGCAGTAGTGGCCGCGTGATTTTGAAATTCTGAAATTTTAACAATTAAATTTGGAGGGATTTTTGCCAAAACTTGCTGAACTCCAAGATTTGTTCCTGAGTCTTGGGATCATGGCCATTAAGCAGCTTGATCAGGAGTCAGAGAGGCTGTTCGTGGGTGGCGACTCAGGGTCTTGCTGGAATGGGGAGGAAAGGGCCAGCTCCACCCCCATCCCGTGAGGCCCCGCATGTCTTATCACAGAGGGCCCAAACCTGACTGTCCAGTGGCCTCTGAAGGATGGCAACCAGCAGGCCGCCAAGGGGGAGCAGATGGAGGGACAGCACCCTTTCACCTCTGGGGTGGCCCAGCGACAGTAACTTACTGAGGGGTCCGGACGCATTTCTGCCAAAAGCTGCTGGGTTTCAAGATTTGTTTCTGAGTCTCTGGGATCATGGCCATTAAGCAGTTCAATCAGGAACCAGAGAGGCCATTCCTCCAATTATATAGCTGAGCCGGAGGTGATTTGTGGATGTGTCTCCCACATACCTAACTTTTGGCCGTTTACTTTTTGGGTAAATTTTGCCCCAAGTTTTTGGGGTCTAACCAAAGGCACAGCAGCAATTTGGGGGTATCTGAAGGCACCATCAGACTGCTGATGCACTCACCTCACAGGTACAGATTGACCTGCTGGCAGCACCATACCCCCTATGTATGTGTTTTAAAATTGCTCCTCTCCCACTATCTTCTTTGTGTGTGTGTGTGTGTGTGTGTGTGTGTGTGTGTGTGTGTGTGGTTTTGGGCCACACTGTGTGTGCTTGGGGACTGTTCCTGACTCTATGCTCAGTATTGACCACTAACAGTGCTCGGGGGCCATATGTAGTGCTGGGGATTTGAACCAGAGTTGGCTGGATGAAAGGCAAGTGCCCAGTGCTGTCTATCCAACCTGTTCTTTCTTATTTTGATAGAAAAGCTATCTCGGTGTTGTTATATTTAGGAGAGTAGCCCTTATTGGGCTCTAGGTAAATAAATATTAACCTAGAACGAAAGAAAATGGGAAAGTGGCACATTTAGTATAAAGAGTAATACTATCTGTATTTGTTAATAATGGTGCATCTTTTGTCAAAATAATGAATGTAATCAAAGTAGAGAGAGAGAGTGAAGTGGAAATCATCTGCCTCACGGGCAGGTGGAGGGGTGGGATAGGGGGTATATTGGGGCTCTTGGTGGTGAAAAATATGCACTGGTGAAGGAATGGGTGTTTGATCATTGTATGACCAAGACTTAAACCTGAAAGCTTTGTAACTATTCTCACAGTGATTCAATAAATAAATTTAAAAAAAAACTATCTGTATCTGTATTTGTATCCTTAGCAGCTTGTTCATACATAGTAAGTGCTTATCCAGTGAACTGTACATACTGAGAAGCTGTTTTCTAATTCTGATTGTGCTGTCAACTGTCTGATTCCAGAAAAATGTAATCTTTGGGCTTCAGTTTTCACCTATTTCAAATAAAGGAAAAACCTAAGTGAACTCTTTTTTTAAAAAAATCTGCTTATTAGGGGTCAGAGAGATAGTACAGGTAAGGTGCTTGCTGATCTGGGCTCGATCTCCTGCATCCATATGATCTCCCAAGCACTGTCAGGAGTAAGCCCTGAACACTGCTGAGTGTGGGCCAAAAACAAAAAAATAAAAAATATATTATAAAATCTGGTTATTAAATATTGTGAAATATCTAATACCGTTAAAAATATTCTTTGTCTAGCTACTATTAGCACATTCTTGAAATTGGGATGACATATCTCAGCATGGAAAAAATTATTTGGTTATTTTTTTCCATAAATAACACTTATTTCTTAAGAGTTGTATTTGCATATATTTCTTCATGGAGGTTCATTATGTATATTCCAAAACAAATTCCTAAGAATATTTGCTAGTCGCGTACATTTTAGAGATTGCTTAGATTCTGTAACTTGGCTGGCATTGGTCTCACTTAAAATCAGACACAGGTGGGCAGGAAGGTAAGTCAGAGGGCTAGTGCACATGCTCTGCAGCCAGGAGACCCAGGTGTGGTCTTTGACACTCACTGCATGGTTCCCGAACACGGCCTGGAGTGACCTCTGAGAACCAAGTCAGGAGTAAAGTCCTGGAGCACCACTCAGTATGGCCTCCATACCAACATCAAATACAACATCAAATCCAAGAGTGTATGTAGTGACTAATTATAGGGAGCAGAAGTGATTGCGGATGGCTATGTTATTCAACATTTTTTTTATCATCCCACCAAAGATGTGATTCTAATTAATAGAGAAGATTTTAGCTTAATCATCTTTCCCATTTGGTAAAGTCTGAATTGGTCAACTAAGCCAGAGTCGTGAGTATGAGTGTTATACTGACCTATGTAGGTTCAGTTGGTTTGCTGAACTGAACTGTCTTATCCCCATTAGAATTCCAACACTCAGCACATTGGGGAATAAATCTTAAACGATGTTAGTGCCTGGAAAGCTGTGTGTAACTTATCCCATCATGGAGAGAAAGAAGCAAAACGTTCATCTGTTAGTTCAGATATTCATTCAAAGCCTGAATAAACAAGGTGATAGAAAACAGAGTCCAGGTTTGATACCAAAGAGCCTTTACCATTCGATATTGAGCAGTCTTTTAACCTTGAGACCACTTTCTCAGTTCTGCATATGAAGATTAAATGGGAGATTTTATACATACATATATGTTACTTAGTACATGCCCCAAAATATTAATGCTTTATCTCCTTCAGACTTTTCTTGACTTCTGTTTCTTGACATCACTTTAAACTACTTTCCAACCATGAAAATCCAGCAGTCATTTTTTTACTTTTTGGGTCACACCCGGCGATGCTCAGGGGTTACTCCTGGCTCATGTACTCAGGAATTGCTCCTGGCGGTGCTCAGAGACCATATGGGGTGCTGGGAATCGAACTTGTGTTGGCCATGTTGGCTGCATGCAAGGCAAACGCCCTACCCGCTGTGCTATCGCTCCAGCCCCCAGTCATTTTTTTTAAATTTAGAAAAATTTCAAGCATATAGAAAGGAAAAAAATAATAGTACAATAATAGTACAAAATAGTACAATAATAGTAAAATAATAGTACAAAATTCAATACTTAGTGTGAATAGTTATTGATATTATTTATTTTTTTCTGTTGCTCTCTTATTGCTCACTTGGTAATATCTTTTCTTTTTGGTTATAGATATTATTTATGTCTTCAGCTTCGGCAGGACATTGTTGCAGGACGTCTGCCCTGTTCTTTTGCAACTTTAGCATTGCTAGGCTCTTACACCATACAGTCTGAACTGGGTGACTATGACCCAGAGCTCCACGGTGTGGATTATGTCAGTGATTTTAAACTGGCCCCAAATCAGACCAAGGAACTTGAAGAGAAGGTCATGGAACTGCATAAGTCCTACAGGTAAATATGTCTCCAGTCGGTGTTAATTGTGTTTTGTCTTGCCATAAGCTAGAGTCCTTGGCCTGGGATTGGTTCAGTGGTTGCCTGAGTGGGAACATCATGGTGCTGTACAAAGAATCTTTGGCCCTTTGAGGGGCTAGAGCCATCATACAGTGGGTAGGGCATTTTGCCTTGCACTCTGATCCAGGTTTGATCCCTAGCATCTCATATGCTCCCCTGAGCACTGCCAGGAGTAATTCCTGAGTGCAGAACCAGGAGTAACCCCTGAGCATGGCCAGGAGTCACCCCCCAAAAAAAGCAAAAATAAAATAAAATACCTTAAAAAAAATCTTTGAACCTTTGATCCAGATTTTAAACTTACTAAGCTATATGAGGTGACTTGAGATTCTTAGAGTAAGGCATGTTGGGATTCTCCATACATAAATAGACTTTAGAGGGCCCCTGAAGGTATTTTTTTTTTAAGTCTTTATTGAATCCACTGTTTTCTCTTTCATGAAAATAATTGGTACTATTGGGAGGTTATATAACACAGGGATTAAAATCAAGGACTTTGCAGTTGAGGGGCCCTGGAGTGGAATCCCAGGAGTCTTCGTGCCCGTGTGCACATGCGAGTGCACGAGCGCGCGCGCGCGCGCACACACACACACACACACACACACAGAGCAAGAGTTACAATATTTCTCTCTGTGGGGCTGGAGTGATAGCACAGCGGGTAGGGTGTTTGCTTTGCACGTGACCAACCCGGGTTCGATTCCCAGCATCCCATATGGTTCCCCAAGCACTACCAGGAGTAATTCCTGAGTACAGAGCCAGGAGTAACCCCTGTGCATTGCCAGATATGACCCAAAAAGAAAAAAAAATTCTCTATTTTTTTTTGTTTGGTTGTTTTGGGAGTGGAGCGGAGGGAAGTATTTGGGACCACACCTAGCTGTGCTCAGGGCTTATTCCTGGCTCTGTGCTCAGGGATCACTCTAGCAGTGCTCAGCAGGCTGACTATATGGAGATTGAGCCCAGGTCAGGTAGTACCTGCTGTGCTATCTGGGTTAAAATCTTGACTCAGCTCGTTCTGGCCTTGAAACCTTGGGTAACTTACTCAGCCTCTTCAGAGTCCCAGGTTCCTTGTTTGTCTGATTACCGCAGGGTAATATGGCGTTCCTGATAGGGTTAGAGAGTTAGTATGTACACAGGCTTCAATATCTCACACGTGGTAGTTCAAGAAATGTTAGCTAACATTAAAATGTCAGGATAATTTGTGTTTCTTCTTGCCATCCATCCCATTTTTTTCTTTTTAGTGACTTGTTAATAAGTTAAGTTGCCTTAGCTTATTAACATGAATGTCTAGTCTCAATCTTGAGTAAGTAAGTAAGTAAAGTAAAGGCCCTCCCGTTGATCATCGATTTGCTCGAGCGGGCCCAGTAACGTCTCCATTGGAGACTTTGTTGTTACTGTGTCTGGCATATCGAATACTCTCGGTAGCTTGCCGGGCTCTCCGAGAGGGGCGGAGGAATCGAACTCGGGTTGGCCATGTTGGCTGCGTGCAAGGCAGATGCCCTACCCGCTGTGAGTGCTTGAGTTATGTTAGTTTGAGTTATGGTGTTCCAGGGGGCTTCATTGTTAAAAGGAAAATTCAAAGGGGCTGGATAGACCATTCTAAGGGCTGGAGTGCATGTGTTGCATGCAGGAGACCCTGTCTGATCTCTGAAACCATATGGTCCTCCAGGCACTGCTAAAAGGGATTTTCCTCCCAAGCAGATCCCCTGATTTCCCGGTCCCTGGTCCAGCCAGGAATAGCCCCTATCTCCACTGGGTGTGGTTCCAAACAAGAGGGAAACGAAGAGAGAAGTCCAAGAGTGGTTTCAGTTGTCTTTCCATGGAATTAACTGTTCTGTCTAGCCATCGGGTGATCTTGCATTGAAGAGCTTCCACATAGCTGCACAGATTGAGATGCAACAAGAAAGCCTGAGCTCAGAGTGCACCAGTTCTGGGTGCCCGTTTTGCTTCTGTCAGTTCTGGTACCATGATCTTGATATGGTCTAGATAGTTGGACTGCTTTCATGAGGCCACTGGTGACTTTAATGAAAGTCATTTTTCAAAATATCATGTAATATAGTGTGTTAACATTCAGAATGTTTAGAACTTAGTGAAGCAATATTTTTAGTGAAATGTATAATGTGAAATCGCACAGGTGGAAAAGGTCTCTTCAAAGTTCAGATTAGGGGGCTGGAGCAATAACACAGCAGGTAGGGCGTTTCCCTTGCACGCGGCCACTCTGGGTTTGATTCGCAGCATTTCATATCGTCTCCTGAGTGCATCACCGGGTGTGACTCAAAAAGCAAAAAAAAAAAACACTAAAGTCCAGGTTAGGCTTGTGGATTTTATTTGTGGGATGTCTTCCCATTGCTGTGCCCATGCTAGGAGACCATGCATTTCTGGGGGACTAATGGGTCTCCATGCATGCCACGTATGTATTTCAGCCCTTTGACCTTCTCTTTGGCCTAGACCAATGAATATTTTTTGAAGGGGGGCCATATCCAGCAGTGCCCAGGGCTTACTCCTGGCTCCATTCCTGGCAGACTGGGAGATCATCTGGGTTGCTGGGGATTGAACCCAGACCAGCTGCATGGAAGGCAAGTACCCTACCGTCTGTACTATTGCTTCAGCCCCATGGATATTTTTAAAATTATCCTTTGCCAACTCCATACCTATATGTAATCAAGTCTCTGACTCTGTCTCTCTCTGTCTCTCTCTCTCTTTCTTTCTCTCTCTCTCTCTCAAGTTAGTGGTTTTGTTTTGTTTTGTTTTTTGCTTTTTGGGTCACACCCATGATGCACAGGGGTTACTCTTGGCTCTGCACTCATGAATTACTCCTGATGGTGCTTGGGGGACCATATGTGATGCTGGAAATCGAACCCAGGTCTGCTGAGTGCAAGGCAAACGCCCTTCCCGCTGTGCTGTCATTCCAGCCCCTCAAGTTAGTTTTTAATTGAATGAAACTTTCTTAGAAAGAGGAGAGAAGGAAGAGAAATACATGTTTGAGAACAAGGGCTTCTCCAGAGTGGAAAAAAGCATGCAGAGATACATAGAGCTCTTAATCATTTGAGGTATCTAATCTCAGTTGGGTTGTTACTGCTTTCAAAAGTTGTTGGGAATTTAGGATCACAACAGGACCCACTCAGGAGAAAACACCATCAGACCCAAATTGAGAGCTATTGTGCAGAATAACTGGCTTGTGATTTTCAAAAGATCAAGACTGTGTGAATCAGAGGAAGATAAAGGAGCTATTCTTGAGTGAAGGAGGCCAAAGAGACATGAACTGCATGAAACTCGGGATGCAAAACCAGCTCCTGCTATACAGGACAACTGACGACATTTGTACGGGGTCTGGGATTAGATGACAGCGATACATCGGTTTACTGATTTCATTGCTTGTATTGAGGTTTTTGTAGGAGAATGTCCTTATTTATAGGAATTAAACACCCAAGAATTTGAGAAGGCACTTTTATTCTCCAGTGGTTAAGGGGCAGGCAGGGAGGATGTATTTTAGATTGCTTTTAAGTTTAAGTGTTTTCAAAAGATTTAAAGCATTTTAAAAAAATCTTAATCATATTAAAAGTTTTCAATGCAGAACCCAGAAGATACACAGTGATTAGGGCGCATGCCTTGCTGTGCCCAATCTGAGGCCTGGGTTTGATTCCTGGCACCACATGGTCCCCCAAGTGTAGCCCTGGTCTGGTGGCCCCTGAGAACTGCTGGGATGATCTGGGTATCTTTGGCATCCCAAGGTCAGAGCAGTACCACATCCTCGGGCCCGTGCATTGAACCATTGCCCAGTCCCCCCACCAGCCCCATGTCCCTCCCTGCCCCACCCCCACCACCTCTCAAAGTTCACTTAGGAGGCCAAAAGAAAGAAAAATTAACACAAGCATCAGGGCTGAAGAGATGGCTCACAGGATTGGTACATTGTGGGCAGATAGGCAGAGCCCCTGGTTTGTTTTTATTTTGAGTGTGTGTGTTTTGGGCCACACCTGACAGTGCTCAGATTATTCCTGTCTCTGACTCAGGGTGCCTAGGATTGAACCTGGATCGGCTGTGTGTGCAAGGCAAGTGCCCTATCCACTATACCATCTCTCTGGCCCTCCATCAATGATAGTAAGAACAAAAACAAATAGGGAGTAAGTTGAATCAGAAAAGCACTGTTTTGGGCCTGGGTTTGTGGCCCAGGGGTAGAGCGCCTTCCTTGCTATGAGTTTGATGACCAGCCCTGTCAGTGTTGCAGAAAACGGGTCCAGCTATACTCATTAGGGTCTCCGGGGCACAACAGGGGTTCTAGCAATAGGAAAAGGGTGTGACCCCTCGAGATTAAAACAGCAAAGGAAGAGAATGGTGGAGGGAGAGGAGAAAGAAAGAGAAAGTATATACTTTATATTGGGGTAAGTATCCTACAAAGCTTGCCTAACGTGGGTTTATGGGTCATAACCATCTGTGATCAGGGATCAAACCAGGGTCTGCCACAGCAAGGCACACACGCCTTAACCCCTGTAACCTTCTCTCAGACCCTGCCTGTCTATACGGGTTAATTTTCCTGTTCTCGTGTGTGTGTGTGTGTGTGTGTGTGTGTGTGTGTGTGTGTGTGTGTGTGTGTATTTTCAGTTTCAGACCCATTAATAGAATTCAGGTTTACACCTTTAGCTTTAGTACCTGTGAAAAGTTTATTGAGGAGGGATGACTCAAACAGATCTGTAGCCTCTTTTGAGATTTTGTTGTTATTCTAAAGATCTCTTTGCTCTCTTAAATGAGGATATACACAGATGTGATAGGAAGAGACTTTCTCTAGTTGAATGACTGGGCCCCTGCTGTTGAGGCAGTCATCAGGAGGCGGGGTTCAGCTCTCTGGGGGATGTGACTGTTACCATGTAGTTATTTTTGATGGGTCTGAATGAAGCCATATTAGGAGTGCAATCTTTCCTTCAAAGCCCAAAATAACAGTTCATGATCACTTTTCAGAAGAGAGGAAAGTTAACAAAAAGAGAAGAAAAGAACCCAATGTGTTTAGTCAGTGAGACTGATTGTTTTCAAACAATTTTAATTCATTATATGCTTTCCAGTGAAGACATCTTAGTAACAGAATAAAGCTGCCCCATTATCTACATGCTTCTATTAACCAATTTATTTTGTTTAGCTCAGTGGGCAGGACACCATCTGTTAGCAGAAATTTTCTTTTCATCAAGCCTGCCCCCATTAAGAATCCCCAGTTAAGTAACTTCAGCTGGCCTCCTGCTTCATTTCCATAATGACTCAATTCAGGAGTATGGAGAGAACACTGCAGCTAGGAAGATATTATAAATTGCACCAGGCCCTTAGAGGATTTGATTTTGTCACCTCCTTGGCAAGAAACATTAGTGGGAGGAGTGTATGTTTGTTGTAGGAAAAGGTTGAGAAGCAGGAGGGGGCAGAATGAGTCTCGATATGGCAACCTTAAAAGAAATATTTAATAGGACTGTTTTTTTTTTTTCTCCCCGAGAGCTTTTTCGTGACTTTTTTTCTCCAAGATTACTTTTTCTCCACCACATTTCTATCATTTAGATACAGATACTGATAGGAATCTTACATCATTACTATTCTACTTTCAGGACTGAAATATGTTTTATATGTATTTATGTAATATTTTTTAATATGCAAATGTTATTTGTTGACACTCAGACAATATTTGAATTTTTGTTCTTTCAAAGGTCCATGACTCCAGCTCAGGCTGACTTGGAATTTCTTGAGAATGCCAAAAAGTTGTCTATGTATGGTGTCGACCTTCATAAAGCAAAGGTAATGATAACTTTGGCCTTTATTAATATGCATGTATTGTACCTGTGTCATATGCTATTAAAAATAACCTTTACATGGGGTATAATAAAATATTCAGAAGCGATAGTGGTTATTGTTAAGTTCATTCATTGAATATGTTAAGTATATCAAATGTATGAATCGAATTGGCCTTTTGCAATTATACCTCCAAAATTAAAGTTGACATCGAGGTCACACGTGTTTGTATTCATTTGGAGAAAAGGAGTGATGACTCCTTTAGATTACTTAGCTAATCATCTGCCATTTCAGGTGACATTTAATTCAGGTGGAATTTATTTTCCTTGAATTATAGGCATTGGTGACACACAATTAAAAATGTCCTTATAAAGAACTCTGTAAATGTGGGCTAATTTTATCACATACATGTATATTGGTATGTGTGTATAAGCATATTTATTGGAATCACACATATTTGTGTATAGGCCTAGAAAATTACTAATAATGAAACCTAAAGAATGACATGAGGGGGCCTGAGTGGATAGTATGGTGGGAAGGGTATTTGCCTTGCACATGGCCAAGGCAGATTCAATCCCTGGCATCCCATATAGTCCCCAGAGCACCGCGAGGAGTAATTCCTGAGTGCAGAGCCAGGAGTAACCTCTGACCATTGCCAGGTGTGACCCAAAAAGCCAAAAATATCTTTAAAAGAATGACATGAAGGGCTGGGGAGATTACTCAAGCCTAGAGCATAAACCTAACATCTGGGAAGCCTTAGGTTTGATCTTCAGTCCACGTGGTCCCTGAGCACTGCAGGGCCCGCCCTGGTGGCCCCAGGCACGCAGCCTTCGCTCGAAACCAGGCCTTTCTGGGAGTGGCTCCTCCGGCTGCTCCAACCCTGCGGCTGGGGGGCTTCTTTATTGAGAATGCCATTACCATGTTGAGATGTTCATCTGTTCTGTATTTATTTTCTCATGTTGTGGGTTCAGACTGTGTACTTATCTTGGTTCCTTTCTCTTAATGTCATTATGTATCATTTCCATTTTTATTTGTTTATTTCATAAATTCTGTAGGTTTTGTTTGTTTGTTTGCTTGCTTCCCAGCATTGTGGCTGGGGTGGGGGTCACTACTGGCAACACTTAGTCTGGTTCTTCCAGTCTAGGGTGTGGTGTTCTGCCCAGCTGCCGTACCTGGGCATGCCCATGCAGTAATAGTAACTTGGGGACATTTTCAGGACCTCAAGGACCTCAAGCCCTTTTTCAGTTATAGCCTGGCCCTATGTAGCTATTTAATAGCAACATCGTATTTCTCTATAGGGGTAGATAATAAAACCCTAATGCTTATGTATTCCGTTTTATTCTTTGATTTTTATACAATCTGAACATTTTCATGTATAAAATTTTTTTATTGGCGTTTCTTTGAAATGGGTAATAGAAATAGAATGATTAAGTTTAAATTGGAAGTGGATATTTTGGGGGTGGGGTTTGGGCCACACCTAGTGGTGCTCAGGGGCTTGTGCATGGACGTGAACCCTGGTGGTACTGGGGGATTCAAACCAGGGCCAGTCCTGTGTAAGGCAAGTGCCTTTGATTATTGGTAACTCTGGATTATCTATTAATTGCCAATACTGTGTCAAGCACTTTGCTCAAGACTGAAAACTGCTAGTGCTTTTCTTTTTGCAGGACTTGGAAGGAGTGGATATCATCCTGGGCGTCTGCTCTAGTGGCCTTCTGGTTTACAAAGATAAGCTGAGAATTAACCGCTTTCCTTGGCCCAAAGTGCTGAAGATTTCCTACAAACGTAGCAGCTTTTTCATCAAAATTCGACCTGGAGAGGTATGAAATTCATGTTTATTTTCTCCTGAAACAAATAGAGTCGTTCCCAAACATCTATTTTTTTTTTTTATTTATTGAATCACTGTGGGAAAGGTTACAAAGCTTTCAGGTTTAGATCTCAGTCCTGCAAATATCAAACACATTTCCCTTTACCAATAGTTATTTTTTACCATGAAGAACCCCAATAAAACCCCACCCCCCACCCCTCCCCGTCCCTGTGAGGGTGATGAATTCTGGTTAACACTCTATCTGCTTTGATTAGATTCATTGTTTCAATAAAAGATTCACCACTATTATTTAGAGTTTACCCCCCCCCCCAAATCAGACACCAAACATCTATTTTTATTTTCTGTGTTGTGTCATTTTCTGTTTAAGACAGAGGTTCTCAAACTTCTCCTTATTTGAATTACCTGAAAAGCTTTTACAATTCCTAATGTCTTTCTGATATTCTCAGTAATGTGTTTGAAGGCCAGACCCCAACCACAACAGTTGTATCAGAATAATCTCTGAGGGTGGGACCCCAGTGTCACTAGTTTTTGTTGGGGGGGCCAGAGTATGGGCATAGGAGTGTCACACCCAGCAGTGCTTAGGGGATTACTCCTGGCTCTGGGCGCAGGGATCACTCTTGGTGGTAGGTATTATTAATTCTATTTTAAATTAATTAACTGATTTTTGGTTTTGGTGCCACACCCAGTGGTACTCAAGGTCTGTTTCTAGCTCAGTGCTCAGAGTGACCCCTGGTGGCCATGAAGGACCCTGGGTCAGCTTTTTGCAAGGAAAGCCCCTTAAACCCTGTATTATCTCTCCAACTTAGTATTTTAAATCTGTTTAAGTGATTCCAAGATCCATCAACTCTGAGAACCACTGCATTAACTCTGAGAGCCACTGATAAATATAGTGATCTTTGACCTTTTTCCATATAAGGACCATATCTGTACTGGTTTGTGTTGTTTATTTTTTTTGCGGGGTGGGGCACACGCAATTGTGCTTAGGAGTTACTCCTGGCTCTACACTCAGGAATTACTCCTGGCAGTGCGTGGGGTACAACATGGGATGTCAGGGATCTAAACCAGGCCGGCCGCATGTAAGGCAAACACCCTCACTGCTGTACTATTGCTCTGGCCTCTGTGCACTGGTTTGTGGGCCAACACTTAATAATTGATCTAAGTGGTCTCTCACAGCTGAGACCATTCAGAGACTGAAAATTCTGTTTTATAAATCAGTCCCATAAGATTTCTCCTCTTCACTACTGCTCCTCTGGTCATTTCTCCTTGGAAATATTCCATGGCCAGAAGCGAAGCTTGAGTTCATAAATTTGTTCCTTGCAGATATTTGAGGAGAAAAATGTTATTTTGGAGGGACTATATAATACAGGGGATAGGATATTTGCCTTGCATGTGACTGAGCCAGGTTCAATTCCCTATATCCTATATGGTCCCACCAGCTGTGATCCCTGAGCACAGAGCACCACTAGATGTGGCCAAAAAACAAATAAAAAATTATTTTTTGGTCAAAGTCAACAGTGCTTGGAACCTTGGAACCTACTTCTGTTTCTGTGCTCAGTGGCACTGTATCAAACCAAGCCTCCTGCATTTGAAGCTGTCTCTCCAGCCCTTGTGAAAATATTTTTAATTTCAGTTGCATGAGGGTTTTTTTTTTTTTTTTGCTTTTGGGTCACACCCAGCGATGCTCAGGAATTACTCCTGGCAGTGCTTGGGGGACCATATGGGATGCCGGAGATTGAACCCGGGTTGGCCGCGTGCAAGGCAAATGCCCTACCTGCTGTACTATTGCTCCAGCCCCACATGAGGTTTTTTTATTTTGTTTTTGTAGTGACAAGTTTTGAACCTAAGGCTTCATACTCACAAGGCATATGCTCTTCCATTAAGCCATATTCCTGGTACACATGAAAATTCAATCGTGGAATTAAGTCACTGATACTACTCATAATTAAAATTTTCTGCATAAAATTATATGCATAGTTTCTAGTCTTTACTCAGAATATATTCTTGGGTTGTGCTCTAGACTTTAGATTTTTGTTTTGTTTTGTCTTGTTTGGGGACCACATCTAGCAGTGCCCAGAGACTACTTAATGCTTATTGGTCACTACCAGTGGTGCTTGGCAAGGTACCAATTTTGCAAGGGATTGAACCCAGGCCTGTGACATGAAAAGCATACATTCAAGCCCTTTGAGCTTTTTCCCTGGCTCTGCACTCAGGGGTCATTCCTGGCAGGGCTCAGAGGACAATCTGGGGGTGCCAGGGATCGAACCTGGGTTTGCCGTGTGCAAGGCAAGTGTCCTACCTCCTATACTATCTCTCTAGTCAGTTCTAGATCTTTAATAATGTTGTGCCTGATAACTCCGTTACTAGTGGTCAAATTCAAGTAATAACTTGTTAGGCAAATTTAACTTTTAGAGTAAAGGGCTATACTCGCATAGCAAGGGAAAGAATGTCTAGTTTCTGCCACTGATTAAGCAGAAGAGTGGACAAATCTAAGACTGGTTCTTTATTATTCAGGGGACATAGTATGTTTGTCATCATTGGCTTGATGATTAAATAACTAAAAGTTCTGAACAGAAAAGCCTGTGACTAATGGAAAGTAGCTTTTGTGTGTATATAGCACCCTCTACCTGTGAGAAATGCCTCAGTATTGGCATATAAATACTGGGTGTGCAGCCTTAAAATTTTAGGGAAAGGATTATCAACAAAACACTGTTTAGTGCCATTATTATTTCCCTGTGACTAACATGGAATGGTCAGTGTCTTCCCTCAGCTTCAAATTCAAACGTCTTTGTTTTCTTGCTTGTTTTGGAGCCACAAATTGGTGTTGCTCAGGATTTACTCCCGACTCTGCATTCAGGGATCACTCCTGGCAATGCTCGGGGGACTGTGTGTGGTGCTGGGGATCGAGGAAGAAGCCATTTTTATTTAGTTTTGGGCTATGCTGAGTGGTGTGCAGTGAACTACTCCCAGCTCAGTGCTCAGGGTTGACCCGTGGGTACTCAGAGGACCAGGTAGAGCCTGGAGTGGGGCCCTGGGCTCCAGCATGCTAGTGCACTCAGCTCTTGGCACTGTCCCCGGCTTTCCAAGAGCCAGTCATCAGCAAATACTCATTTGAGGACTTCCTTTGTGCCTGGTAGTATCAACAATCCTATGGTTTAATTTGAGAAGTCAGAAAAGGAATTAATATGCTCAAATATTAACAATAATCATAGAAACTACAAAAATTATGGTTTCTTTAAGGGTCTACTCTGAATGCCAATTTTTTTTTTTTTTTTTTGCTTTTTTGGGTCACACCTGGCGATGCACAGGGGTTACTCCTGGCTCTGCACTCAGGAGTTATTCCTGGCTGTGCTCAGGGGACCATATGGGATGCTGGGAATCGAACCCGGGTCAGGCGCGTGCAAGGCAAATGCCCTACCCACTGTGCTATCTCTCCAGTCCTGAATGCCAAAATTTTTTTCAGGTTTTTAAATTATATTTATTTATTTTGGTTTTGGGGGTAATACCCCCAAAACTTGGAAGCTGCTCTTGGCTTGGTATAAGAGGGCCATGCAGTATCAGGAATGAAACCCAGGCTTCCACTTACACAACATGAACTCCAGTCCTTGGAACCGTCTCCCCGTCCACAGATGCAGATTTCTTGAGAAAGCGGTTTAAAAGCTACAGATTTTGAGAAGAGTGGCATTACAACTATGTTAGATGATCTAGACGTATTATAGGAAAAGCCATGAGATTATATGATACTGCCACTTACTAGCTATAATATCTTCCCTGATCTGATCTCAGTGTCTTCATGTTTAAATATGCACTGTAGCCCTATATCACTGTCCTCCTTGTTCATCGAGTTGCTCAAGTGGGCACCAGTAGTGTCTCCATTGTGAGATTAGTTGTTATTGTTTTTGGCATATTGAATGCACTACGGGGAGCTTGCCAGGCTCTGCCATGCAGGTGGGATACTCTCAGTAGCTTGCCAGGCTCTCCGAGAGGGATGGGGGAATCGAACCCAGGTCGACGGCATGCAAGGCACCTTATCCACTGTGCTATCGCTCCAGCCCATGTTTAAATATGTAGATGATAATATCTCATGTCACGAGCATGTATTTTCTTTCCATCATATAAAGTATACTTAAGGCAAGAACCAAAGGCAAGAGATTAGCAGGGCAATACCTCAGTGCTCCTAGTCATCCTAGCAGTTTGTGGTTTGCTTTTGTCAAAGAGGTACACAAGTGTCAGCCCTGAAATTTGTGTTAAGTAACATCCAAGTGTGAGCCACTGGTGGTACACGCCAGTGTCAGTGTGTTAATGTTCCATCATAGGAAAAAACTGAGCAGTCTTTAATTTAAGTATATGACTTGAATCAAAATCTCCAGTTCCTATTATTTCATTTACTTCATTTACTTTTAGCTCCTGTTATTCTTTCTTAAAACTATCTTATAATAATGATTGAAGAAATTTTAATGACCAGAGGGCAATATCTGGACAATCAAAGGGTGATTTACTTATCTCTCTCAAATATACAGCGTTTATATGTAGGTTTTTTTTTTTAAAAAAAAAAACATAGTAATATAAAATGTATTCCTTGGCTTTCTTGCTTGGAAGAAGTCACCCTCAGTAAGTTAATTTATTTACATGAGCAGGAAAAACCTTACAATGGTATTTTATGTCTTGAGACTATTAACATTTTTCTTACTTACAATGGTCTGTAGCACCATATTTCCCTGATATTATATCACTAGTGAAATAATACTTACTGTTATGTTTATTTTTATTTTTATAGCAAGAACAGTATGAAAGTACCATCGGATTCAAACTTCCCAGTTATCGAGCAGCTAAGAAATTATGGAAAGTCTGTGTAGAGCATCACACATTTTTCAGGTATTTTTCTCACTTAGGATAAATTATGTATGTTTCTATTTTAAGTTTGCTATTGAAATTCCCTTCTTTGTTTGGCTGGCATCCTTTTATTTAGCTCAGTGAGATCATCCTTAGCAAAACACAATGAATCTAGTTCTTCTCTGCTTGAAACACATGTTTAACATTCCCAGAGCATCTTTATGTATATGGTAGAAGGAAGAGAGGAGAGAGGGAGAGATTCCTACGTTTACTAGTTTCCATGAGGCCTTTCTACTGGAAGGTTAAATATTTGAAGCTGATGATTTCCCAGAAAGGGGCCACAGAGACTCTTTGAAGCCCAGTTGTATCAAATCAATAGAGGACTGAATAAAGTTCTTTTTGTTTGTTTGTTTTGTTTTGGGGCCACACCCAGTGGTGCTCAGGGATTATTCCTGACCTGCAATCAGGGATCTCTCCTGGCAGTACTGGGGGCGGGGGGAGTGTGCCATATGGGGTGCCAGGGATCAAATCAGGGCTAGCCACATACAAGACAAATGCCCTACCCACTGTCCTTCAGCCCCCCAACCCCCACCCCGTCCCTATCATGTCTTCTTTCTAACCAGCCAGGTCTTGAACACTTTGTATTCATTTGCTGTGTGCTTCCCTTTAGAGAGGCATTGGGAATATACCACAAGATAGTCCCTGTCCTGAAAGACCAGATAGTATAGCAGAGAAGGCAAACTTTAGACAACTAGCTGCTTGTATTGAAAAGAGCTACCTTGGGGCCAGAGATGGTACAGTGGGCAGGGTGTTGGCCTTGCACACGGCCAACCCTGGTTAGATCCCCAGCATCCCATTTGATCCCCCAAGCACTGCTGGAAGTGATTCCTGGCTGCAGAGCCAGGAGTAACTCTTGAGCAACACCAGGTGTGGCCCCCAAACAAGCAAAAGGGCCAACTAGTTATTAATAGATCAGTATTTATAGAAAATGCATTTACTTGATCCAAAGAGATACCTCAAAGAACTGAGTTCAGGCTTTGCATGCTGGAAGCCCAGGTGTGGTCCCCTCACCATACACTTCTCTGAGCACCATCAAGCACAGACCCCGAACACAGAGCTGGGAGGAGCTCTCAAGCACTGCCAAGTGTGGCCCCCAAACCCAAAGCAAATAAAGATGTGGTTATCGTGGCCAGTGGCATTGAGAGCACATTGAAGAGAATAGGATGACGAATTGCCCCTGAGCCTCTGGGCTCAGCATCAGGACCATCATCATGAGGCTCACCACAACTTCCCACTACATCTTAGATTATTCCCAACCATTGTTTTAAACCTCATGTCATAAATTTGCCTCTTTATGCAGGCTGTATAGAGAGGAAACAATAAAATGTTTTCCTTCTGTTTTTATTTTCTTATCAGAATTAGCACAAAGGAGAGAAAAAATAATATTTCAATTCTCGTTTCAAAATAAATGTAAGAGGAGCCGGGGAGACTTTATGAGGTGCTGGGGATCAAACCCAAGTCACCTGCATGCAAGACAAGCACCTTACCCACTCTGCTACCTCTCTGGATCCCCAGTTAAAGAATTTTAACTAATATCATTGAGATATTTCTTTGTGCTTTCAGCATCCCCTTTAAGATTGAAAGGATAAGGATGAAAAAAACAAAAAAAAGAATAAGGATGGAAAAAAGTTATTTTAAATGTTTCATATCTGTAGTGCGTATTTTAGCTGCTACCAGTATTATTTAATGTTTGGGTTTCATGTATACCATTTTATTAAAATAAGAGGGTGTGTTAATACATAATGCTTCACTACATTTTTTAAAAAGGCTGCTGCAGCTTAAGCCGTCCCAAGGGGAAAATGCTTTCTCCTTGGTAGTATTCAATGTAGAAATTTTCTTTATTCAACAAATATATATTGTGTACCAAATCTGTGCTTAGTTTGGGCACGGTGCCAGAAATGAAAACACAAAGATAAATAAGTTACACTTTTTATTCCTTCCCCTGCAGTCTGATAGGGGAGATGAGCAGAGGTGGTCCCAATTCAATACAGTGAATGCTATGACAAAGGAGAGCTCAGAGTTCTGTCTAGAAGGAAGGTTTCTGGATTGAAAATAAGCCAGATAACCTAGGCAAAAGGTTTCCAATTCAACCATTAATTGAAGTTGGGGTGCATTTGACAAAATATTTATTGCAGCAGACCTGGGGATGAGCCCTGGGTTTGGACTTGGTCACCGCTCAGTCTTATAAGAACAATGTGACCTGAGTTAAGTAATTTTTTTTTTGAGGTTTGATTTCCTATATAAAATGACGAAAGTATTATAGGGATGTAGCAACAATAGTGCAGAGCTATAAAAGTATTTTGAGGACCAGGGACATTTCAAGCATCTGCTTTGCATGTGTGGTTTGATTCCAGTGTTGAAGTGTATGTGTCTGTTGGGGGAAAATATTTTGAAAACCATCAGGCCCTATATGTCTATAGGTCACAAATAAATTATCCTTATTGCTTTGAGAAATTATGTTGAATGATAAATGATTGCTTGATCAGAGATCTGTTTTAGTTAGCTCTAAGATGGCTGAGAAAACGTTTCAAAATTCATTTTAAAATAAAGACTTTGTCTTTAAATCTCATGGTCTCATTAGAATAAGTTCGTGTATAAAACTTGATTGCTGTTTTTTTCTTCCAGACTGACATCTACAGACACCATTCCTAAAAGCAAATTCCTTGCACTGGGATCCAAATTTCGATACAGTGGCCGAACTCAGGCTCAGACCAGGCAAGCTAGTGCTCTGATTGACAGGCCTGCTCCACACTTTGAACGAACAGCCAGCAAACGAGCATCCCGGAGCCTTGATGGAGGTTCGTGTTGAATATTAATGATTTCTTATGAACTTTGCTCTTTCGGGATAGAACAAAGAGAGTATTATTGTCAATATAAGAGCCAAATTAAAGAATCTCAGTTGTAAAATGAGGTGGATTTTGCTAGTTACCTAATTCAGTAGAATAATTTTGGTTTTGATGATAACAAGAGATTACTCCTTGATGTGCACTCAGGAATCACTTCTTTTTTTTTTTCCACATGTGATCTTTATAATTTATTGATTTTAGTCTGCTAAGATTTTGGTAATAAGGTGGTTTTTTTAAAAATTTTTTTATTATTGAATCACCGTGTGATATAGTTACAAGCTTTCATGTTTGAGTTTCAACCAACAATGATCACCCATTCCTCCACCAATGCACATTCTCCACCACCAGTGTCCCCAGTATCCCTCCCCCTTTCCTACTCTCCTCCTCTCTCTGTGACAGACAGTTTCCCCCATACCCTCTCTCTAGTTTGGGGCATTTGGAAAGTTATTGTGTTTGGTCTTTTATCTAGTTTCAGCACACATCTGCCAACCTGAACAATTCCTCCAACCATCATTGACTTAGTGATCCCTTCTTTATTCCACTTGCCTTCTCCCTCAGCTCATGAGACAGGCTTCCAACTATGGGGCAATATTCCTGGCCCTTGTGTCTACTGACCTTGTTGTCCGTCTCATATTATGTTATTTTATATTCAACAAATGAGTGCAGTCCTTCTTTTGTCCCTCTCTTTCAGACTCATTTCACGTAGCTTGATACTCTCCATGTCTGTCCACTTATAAGCAGATTTCATTCATGACTCATCTCTCCCAATAGCTGCATAGTATTCCATTGTGTAGATTCCAAAGTTTCTTTAACCAGTCATCTGTTTTGAGGCACTCGTGTTGTTTCCAGATTCTGGCTATTGTGAACAGTGTTGCAGTGAACATACAGGTGCAGATGTCATTTCTACTGTGCTTTTTTGCATTTAGGAATCACTTCTGGCAGTGCCCAAGGAACCATATAAAAGTGCCAAGGTTTTAGGGCTGGAGCAATAGCACAGCGGGTAGGGCATTTGCCTTGCACACGGCCGACCTGGGTTTGATTCCCAGCATCCCATATGGTTCCCTGAGCACCGCCAGGAGTGATTCCTGAGCTCAGAGCCAGGAGTAACCCCTGTGCATCGCCGGGTATGACCCAAAAAGCAAAAAAAAAAAAAAAATGCTGAGGTTTTAACCTAAGACAACTTTCTGCAAGGCCTTACCCACTGTACTATCTTTCTGGCCCCTCACTGGAATAATCTTAAGAAGATGAGAACCAGGCTGGAGAGGTAGTATAGTGGGTAAAGCGCTTGCCTTAGATGCAGCTGACTCAAGTTTGATCCTCTGCACTCCAATATATTCCCCTTGAGTCTGCAAGGAATAATTCCTGAGAACCATCAGGTGAGCCCCCTCCCCCCAAGACAAGCAGAATTACGTGTTATCTTTTTATCTGAATTACATATATATTGAGGAGGAGAACGTTTTTTATTTTTGGTTTTTAGGCCACACCCAGCAATGCCCCAAAGAGGAAATTTTTTGTGGTTCTATTTTACTTTCTTCTTTTACTCTGTGTACTATCTTCTCAGTAACTGAGAAGTTCTTCTCAACAATTGAGATGTTGGAAACTTTTCCCGTTCTTTTCCCAGATCCTTCTCCATATTTATTTATTTTTATTTGCTTATTTGGTTTTGGAGCAATAGCACAGCAGGTAGGGTGTTTGCCTTGCATGTGGCCGACCCGGGCTCGATTCTTCCGCCCCTCTCGGAGAGCCCAGCAAGCTACCAAGAGTATCTCGCCTGCATGGCAGAGCCTGGAAAGCTCCCAGTGACATAGTTGATATGCCAAAAACAGTAACAAGTCTCACAATTTGTTGTGAGACGCTACTTGTGCCTGCTCGAGCAAATCGATGAGCAATGGGAGGACAGTGCTACAGTGCTACAGTGATATTTGGTTTTGGGGCTATCCCCAGAGATGTCCAGGGCTTACTCCACTCTGTGCTCAGGGATCATTCCTGACAGGACTCAGGGGACCATGCACCATGCTGGGAATTGAACTAGGGTCTGCTGTTGCAGGGAAACTGCGTTAACCCTGTACCCTCTCTCCAAACCCCTCCATTCTTTAATAGACTCTTCCCTATTAGGCTCCCCACCTCCCTCTTTTATTTTTTAAGTTAATTTAATCCTCTCAGCAAGAGGGTGTATGTTAGGGTTACTCTGCTCAGGGGTCACTCCTGGCAGTGTTCTGGGTACCAAAAATAGTGCTGGGAATCAAACCCAGTTTGGCTGGGTGTAAGGCAAGCGCCTTACCCTCTGTGCTAGTTTTCCAACCCTGCACATAATTCTTTTACACTTTTTTTTCCTTTTTGGCTTTTTGGGTCACACCTGATGATGCTCAGGGGTTGCTCCTGGCTCTGTACTCAGGCATCATTCCTGGCGGCGCTCAGTGGACCATGTGGAAATGCCAGGGATCAAACCCAGGTCACTGCATGCAAGGCAGACACCCAATCCACTCTACTATTGCTCCAACCCCCTGCTTGTGAGTCTTGCCAATTCTTGCCAGGAGAATACATCTGTATTATCTTGGGAGATTTCAAATGGAACAGACGTCAGAGCCCTGTTCTTAGGTAGCTTACCTGTGTAAGGTGCACCTGAGCATCAACTGAGTTTTCTGTTGGTGTTTCAAGATCTTCCTATGAGCGCCATGGACCCTCGAATAAAGGACCCACTGATCCTATTGTACCTGCACCACACTAGCAGGAATTGTGTTAGTAGAACAAGAACTCTATGGCTTTGAGAACACTTAGTTGTTGTTAGACAAAAGCAGTGTAATGTTGGTGTTCCTGGGTCCAGAGAATCATCACTACGAGTCCTTCTTAGTCCACACCTTCTGAAATGCAAAGTGATAGGATTTTCTTTTTTGGAAGGGGGTTTGGGCAACCCCTAGTAGTGCTCAGGGCTTCCTCCTGGCTCTGTGCTCAGGGATCATTCCTGGCCAGGTTTGTATAGGGTGCTAGGGATTGAATTCAAGTTGTCCACATGCAAGGTAAACACCCTATCCACTGTACTATCTCTCTGGCCCCTCTGTACTAACTCTTGTGTACATGAATACATCTGAATGGTAAAAGTAACTTTTATGACTTTTTAATACGGTCACGGTCCTCCCGTTGTTCATTGATTTGCTCGAGCGGGCCCAGTAACATTGTGAGACTTGTTACTGTGTTTGGCATATTGTATACATCACGGGTAGCTTGCCAGCTTTGCCGTGTGGGCGAGATAATGACTTTTTAAAAATCACTTAAAATAATTTACTTAAAATAACAAGTGGATGTATTAATGAGATATGAATTGCAGCTCTGGAAAGCAGTTTTAAGACTGAAGAGACAGTACAGTGGATAGGGCACTTGTGCTGTATGCTACCAACTGCAGTACCACAATCAATCCTCAGTACCACATGTGACCCCCTGAGCACAGCCAAGAGTGATCCTCAAGCACAGAGACTGAAGGAAGCTCTGTTTATAGCTGGGTATACAAAAAGCAGAGTGGGGGGAGGGAAAAAGGAAGGAAGGAGAGGAGAGAGAGCGAGAGAGCGAGCTGTTCTAATAATCAACCATAACCCCTACTGTGATTCTCTGTTGTGATCCTTAGTTTGTAGTCTTACTGAAAAAGGAAAGAAATCTGCCTCTCTCCCAGGATCCCAGATGATGTTTTCCACTTGAATTGCATTTTGATGAGTGCATAATCAATTTTGCCCAACATATTCTTGAAATAATGTTAGTTCATAACGAAAGAAATATGAAGACTTAGATCTGGCACTCAGTTACTAATGCTAAGTCAAGCATTTTTCTATTCATTGATTATACCTTCCTAAAGTGTCTTAGAGAGTTAATGTTATCCACAATTTACAAATGAGGAAACTTTCTTCCTACCTCTTTTTCTAAGTGCCTGTTTCCACACTTATACCTACTTTTCCACATGCAGTACAGATTGCCAGGGCTAGAAATGCTGGAGACATAAATAATTTGGCTCTGCAATATTAGTTTTGGATTAAAACCAAATACGAGTGGCAAAATAGCACATGGTGAAAGCATGGACTACGTTTCTATGATGCCAGGGAAAGTGGAATTAATTCTTAGAGAGGAGGTGTGAATACACATGTATAATGCTACTTTAACACAACTGTGAGCAAAATATTTTGTCACATTCCCTTGTGTTGTTAGATTTGGTCTGCCATCTGCCATTCTTGCATTGACTGGCTTAACGTGCCCAGGAGTAGCAGGAACTTGTTAGAAGCCACATAATTCTCCTTGGAAGATTAGTAGAAGCTTATGTTTCCACCATTTTCCCTATGCATCCTCTAAGGAATCATTTCTTTCACTTGAGATCATTACAGGATAACAAACATTTCTTTCTTTCATGTGCATATGAGGTAATTGTAAATTTCAAAGTTTTATGTGTCTGATTCATGGAATTCTTTGCATTTGCCTAATTATGACTTATGAGTCTTTTTTTCTTTCTTTCTTTTTCTCTTTTTGGGTCATACCCGGCGATGCACAGGGGTTACTCCTGGTTCTGCACTCAGGAATTACTCCTGGTGGTGCTCAGGGGACCATATGGGATGCTGGGAATCGAACTCAGGTTGGCTGTGTGCACACACCCTACCCGCTGTGCTATCACTCCAGCCTTGTATAAATCTTTTTTAAAACTTGATTTAAAAAGTTGTTTACAAAGTTGTTCATAATACATTTGTTTCAGGCTTTCTGTCACCAGTGATCTTCCCTCCACCAGTGTAACCTTCCCTCCACCAGTGTCCCCAGTTTTCCTCCCACGCCCAACCTGTCCCCTTTCAGGAGCAAAATAATTTCTTTTATATTGCTTGTTACAACTAGATGGCTAATGGAATTATCAAAAGATACTTCAGTAAAAGAAAATTTGTGAAAATTGTTATATCTCACAGTGGGATGATTAATGTCATTGAGTTTCCTGAGCTGCTTGTTGCTAGTCGAACCCTTTGTGTTGTTTATTAAGCTTCGTTGGCATCTGGGCTACCTCCCATCTCATTTGCTGCGCTCCTACTGGACTGTCAGTGTTGTGGAATTTGGAGGTCATGTGGCTGCATTTGTGGCCATGCATTCCAAGAGCTCCGGGATCTGTAGAACTAGGATGATTCTTGGTCTGTCCCTTCTCCCAATGGCACCCCAGAGTTATCAGCCTGGTGTACCCATGAGTTGTATCGGGCTGACTTGGCATCTCTTCTGAGATTAGTTGTGAAGCTGTGAAGCTGGGCTCTTGTTTACATGGCGTCAGCTGTGGGGACTGGCTTACTGCTTATGAAACATAAGTTATTAGGGTAAATGAAGTTTTGTACGCTCTGTTTAAGAAGGCAGGAAAGGGCTAGAGAAACAGTGTAAGGGTTAAGGTGCTTGCCTTGCAATGCAGCAGACCCCAGTTTGATCCTAGGCACTGCATGTGATCCCCTAAGCACCAAACTAGGAATAGTCAATGCACACTGCTAGATGTGGCCCCAATTCCCACCATGAAAGTGAAGGAATGGGGGGGGGGGAGGAGAGAGAGAGAGAGAGAGAGAGAGAGAGAGAGCGCACAGAGGGCTTGAGGTACAAGTCCTGCCTTCAGCTGACCTGGCTTCCATCCCAGTATCACATGCCCTGAGCATCTCTGGGTACAGTCCTCAAGGCCCCTTTGCACGATCAGAATCGCTGTCACTGTCACTGTCCTCCCACTGTTCATTGATTTGCTCGAGGGGGCCCAGTAACATTGTGAGATTTGTTGTTACTGTGTTTGGCATATTGAATACATCACAGGTAGCTTGCCAGGCTTTGTCGTGTGGGCGAGATACACTCGGTAGCTTGCCCGGCTCTCCGAGAAAGGTGGAGGAATTGAACTAGGGTCAGGCCGGTCGGCCACGTGCAAGGCAAAGGCCCTACCCACTGTGCTGTCTCGCTCCAGCACAGTCAGAATGGCCCAACTAATCCACAGCACTGCACCCTCAAGCCCTCCTGTAGAAGAATGGCTGGCCTGGTGGCCAAGAATTGCCTCCCACTGAGTACCACTTGGGAGGCCACCACATACACTTACAAAAGAAAGTAGGAAAGCATATCATGAAAACTGTAAAAATTTACATCCAAAACAATGAATATTTATTTTTATTTTTTAAAATTGTTGGAACAACACTCCAAAGTGCTCCATACTTAGGGGTCACTCCTGGCAGTGCTTGGGGGACCCAATGGAGTGCTGAGGATTAAACCTGGGTTGGCCATGTGCAAGACAAACACCCAACCGTCTACTATTACTCAGACCGCAGTAATGAAAATATTATGTTCGCAATACATGAAAGGATGATGATGATCTAGTATCACAAATATTAAATTGTGGGCTCGAGAGACAGCCCTGCAGGGTGAGAGCCTGCTGTGTGCGGAGAAGCCTGGGATTGACCCGGTACCGCATGGCTCCCCAAGGGTCCCACTGGGTGGCCAGCTTGACCACTGAGCCACATTCCAGCCCCAGTATCTTTATTTTTCAAGAAGAAAGGATGGGTTGCACTAGAGAAGGAAGCCACAGCTGGCATAAATAACTGGCATTTTGTCACATTTTATTCCTGCCTATAAAAGTCAGTCTTGCGTGGCTGTCGGCAAGACAATATAATATGGTTTCTCCAAATCCAAATTAGTGGTGCCCGAGGACCATGACAAAACACCACTCTCACATGCAAGGCATGCACTCTGCCTGTTGGGATAATTCTCTGGCCCCACGTCAATTTTAAGAAATGATTTATTAAAGAGAAAAGTGTTCAGTTCAATTTTTTTTTTTAACCTTAAACAATCATCAAAACATACACATTTTCCACCAGGTCCGTGTATAAGGTTGTTTAGTAACTTCTCCCAGGAGACTTTAAAGAAGCAATCAGACTTAATCCCTTTTTGCTTTTGTTTCTGGGCCACACCCGGGGGTGCTCAGTGCTTATTCCTGGCTCTCTGCTCAGGAATTGCTGCTGAGGGGGCTCAGGGGTGGGGCTCACCTTACCATTTGGGGTGCCCAGATCAAACCCAGGCTGGCCACATACAAGGCAGGCAGGCACCCTACCCTCTGTACTATTGCTCCAGCCCTGATGCAGACATAATTAACTTTATTTATCCTCTAGAGACTGCATTGCAGGTCTCTAAGACGGATTGCTAGGTATAGCCTTGCTGGTATGTTTTATTTATTTATTTTTTTAATCTAACAAAAAGCCATTGTGATAGAAACAGTACAAATTTCAAATCAAACTGCAGGTATTCTTTTAAATACCAGAGGTAAAAACAAGTCCTAATTTTTCATCTGGCCACAAGCTTTAGTAATAGCACTTACAGTAGCATTCCTGCCATTATTCAGGACTTTCCCACCTTTGCTCTCCACACAGTTGCTCTTCACACATTCTGTACCCTTAACAGCCACTTCAGTGTCATCAGCCTCTTCCTCTTCACTCTCCTTTGTCTGATTGGAGTCTGGGTATTTTCCTGAATGTTTGAGACAGCTTCACCTTGAACTCTAAGTTGATTCAAAGTTCTTTGCTTGAACTTGCTGGGCTCACTGCAATAAATTCTCAAAAAAAAAAAAAAATGAGAATTTGAAGCTTGTAGACCCGGTCTGGGGATGACAAAGAGGCTATGTGTAGATTTCCTGAGTGTGACAGGTAGCACCTGGAACCTTTATTTTTTTCCTTTTTAAAAAATTATTATTATTTTTAATCACCATGGGATACAGTTACAAAGCTTTCCTGTTTGAGTTTCAGTCATACAGTGGTCAATCACCCAACCCTCCACCAGTGCACATCTTCCACCATCACGGTCCCCAATAGCCCCCCACCATCCCACCCCTCCCCCTGCCTCTATGAGAGACAATCTCCCCCATATTCTCTTTTATATTGTTTGTTATGAATGGCAACCACGTGCTCCTGGAATTCTAAAATTTTAGATAATTAGGGTCTGGAGAAATCTCTGCAGCGAGATGCTCCGTTCAGAGATTCTTTTGTGTGTCTCTGGATCATGGCCATTCAGGAGCTTAAGTAGCAACTGGAGGCGTTTTGTGGGCGTGACTTCCAGGGTCCCATGGGGATGGGGGGGATGAGAAGGACCGGGCCATCCCCTATCCCTTGAGGCCTGGAGTTTGCCGTCACTGAACCCGTGTGCCTGTACTTCTCACTGGGTTCTGGAAGTTGGCAGCCGCCGGGGTTTTTAGGGAGCAAGTAGAGGGATGATGCCTGCCCCCATCTGAAGTACCCCAGTGAAGTCAGCCTGGCTTAAAGTCTGGAGGCAGCTCTGCAGTGAGCTGCTCAGTTCTACCCCTGGAGCCTTTGAAAGGCCCCATTTGAACATCATCTTCCATGGCACCTTTGTACTCTGGTTCTGTTTTGCTTTGCTGACTGGCTCATTGATTGCAGCTGCTGCCACCAGCAGAGCCTGCTCTGTGGTTGCCGGTGTGGAATCCCGTTCCTCGAGTTCATGGACTGATTCATCATATAGGTCAGATTCTGGTCCAGATATGGGGCCGTGGCAACTCCTGTTTTATAATAAAGACAGCTTCTGAAGCTTCACTGGTTGTTTGGTGTAGGGAAAGTGGCATGGTGGCAGTGGCAGAAAACGCCAGTCTTAGCCGACTTTTTAAACAGTTTTCAGTGTTCTTATTTTGGTGTCCCTCCCGGTCTTCCCTTCGTAGAACATATTGCTCAACACATTTTTGTTTCCTGTGAAGGGCACTTTGAGCTTTCTTCTTCCCATCCGTTACCTAGACGAACACCAATGATTTCTTTTTTAGCTCTTTGTACAGTAGCACACTGGACACCACATATGTGCCCTAGATTCATGGTCATGTAACCCCGTGCCTTTGAAGCTGTCCCGCGACTCTTGGCCTTCATACATGCTTCCCGTTTCCCTCTCATACAGCCGCAGCTGTTGATTCCACAGACCGAAGTCCTCGGCCCACCTCCGCCCCAGCCATTGCTCAGAGTCAGATTGCTGAAGGCGCGCCTGCCAGAAAACCAGCAGTGTCTAAAGCACAGAAGGAGACCGTGCAGGTGGAAGTGAAGACGGAAGATGTGCCCCCCGAGCAGGCAGAGCCCGAGCCCACAGAAGTGTGGAAGGTATGGCACAGCATCCCCAGTGTCTCTGTCCAGACACCCCACTGACCCACTCTCTCTTTCCAAGGTGTTGGCCCCTTGACCCCGCAAAGGTTTCTTTTTGTTGTTATTGTTTTCGCTGGTTTGTTTAATGGGGGGAGGGGAGGACGCTGCACCCAGTTGCGCTCAGGGCTTGCTCCTGGCTGTGCTCTCAGAAATCACTCTGGCGGACTTGGGGAACCCTATGTAGTTCCGGGATGAACCTGGGTGAGCCACGTGGAAGGCAAACGCCCTACCCACTGCAATATAGCTCTAGCCCCTGGACTTCAAAGCAATTGATTCTCATAGAATCCTAGCAAGGTTTTTTCTTCCTTGCTCTCTCTGAAGGAAAATTTTGTTCATGCAGGTTCACAGAATTATGTTATAAAGATTTTAAGTTATCCCAGAATTTTTTGTTTGTTTGTTTTTGGGACATACCTGGCTGTGCTCAGACAGACCATATGTGGTTCTGAAGATCAAATTGGGGTTGGCTACATGCAAGACAAATACCTTAACCCGTTTACTATCTCTAGCTCCTGTCCCAGAATTTTCAAGTGATGCACAACTTAATCACAATTTATCCACAATGTATATCTTTCTATTAATAAGAGTAGTGACAGAAGTAAGAGTGACTGAATTTATTTGTAGCAGTTAGAAAATAACTGTGGGGCCAGAGACATAGTATAGTAGGTAGGGCACTTGTCTTGCTTACAGCTGACCTGGGTTCAAACTCAGCACCGCATATGATCCCCTGAGGACCACCGGGAGTGATCCTAAGTGCAGAGCCAGAAATGATCCACGAGCTCTGCTGGATATAGCCCCCCGAAACAACAACAAAAAAAATAAAGGGGGGGGGGGGGGGAGAGAGAACTACAGAGAAAAAGGAAATATTTATGAAGGGCCAGGGAGAAGGCTCAAAGGGCTAGGATTCATCTTGGTGTGTGAGACTTCCAAATTTGACCCTGACACCACATGGTTCCTCAAGCATTATGCTGGGGGGAGCTTCCAAGTACTGCTGGGTGTGTCTCACCCCCCCCCAAAAAAAATAGAAAGCAAGCATAGAATTTACCTGAAATTATAAAAGGAACATTAGCAACAAATTGGCCTTGTGACTGTAAATCATTATCTAACACAAATGTGGTGCCAAATAGAGAGACCTTTCCGTTATCCAGAGCCAGTGATAAGACCTATTTGCTGGTGTAGAAATAGTATCACTTCTGTGTTCACCGTGGTCTTATTTTGTGTTCTCCAAGGGCAAAAAATTACTGATTACACTTGCTTTCTGTTCCTACACCAAAATAGCAACTCTTTCAGTTCTTGTTATTGAATTGCTTAAATACCCAAAGCCAAAATAAATCATTATTTACTCAAACAAGTAAATTAAGCTTTACAAAATAAAAACCACCATTTGCTAAGCATTCACACATCCCTACAAAGATATCATTTCCATTTTATCTATATTAAAAAAAAAGTTGATGAAATGACAAGTGTAACTGAAATCCTAAGCTGCCTTGGTAGGGCAGTAGTTGGAAGTGCTCCTGACTTGGCTGGATCACCAAATGTAGTATTTCCTGGTTCTTTGCATTCATTCTGGTGAAAATACTTTGGTGGCACTGTCCTGTGCCAAGTGTGATTAAAGAAAGTATGTCAGGGCCAGAGAGAGAGTGTAGCGGGTAGGGTGTTGCCTTGCACACTGCCAACCCGGGTGAGATTCCCGGCATTCCATATGGTCTCCCCAAACATTGCCAGAAATGATTCCTGAGCACAGGTGCCAGGAGACAGCCCTGAGCACAGATGGGTATGACCCCAAACCAGACCAAAACAAAACCAAGCAATATGTCAAAACCACAGATTTGTGAGTTTCTGTAAATAATTGAATAGTGTTAAGTGACTGATTTGACCCTTCACAAAAAGAGTTTTCTAGGTGGGGATTGTGGCCCAAGTGGTCAGTTCAATCCCTGATAGTGTTTGGAACCCATGGAGTAGCCCAGTGACCCCCGAGCACCCTGGGAACGGAGACCCAAAGCACCTCCAGGTATGGCCTCTCCAAAACAACAACAATGGAAGTCTCTCACTTTTAAATATCCAGTGTTTTAGGCATCATTCTCACTATTGCACTTCCCTTAGCTGCCTGGGTTGTGGTTTTTGTCTTGTTGTTTTTTTTTTTTTATGTACTTCCTACAAAGTGGAGTATAAAATTAATATACAATAGGTATTTCAAAGTTAGACAGAGACCTTAATTATTCTTTTTCTAATATTAAGGAAGAATCTTTCCCTTTCAGGAACACATTGCTCCAACTCTCTAGAAGGGAGAATATTGTCTGTTAAATATTGCAGTGAGCCCGTGTGCTTACTTATAAATTAAGTTTGGAAGTAATTGTATGTACTAATAAGAATTTGGGTTAATTTTGATGTTTTGTAGTTTAATAAACTCAAGGGTGCAACTGCCTCCTTAAATATCAACTAACAAAATTGTATTTATCCGCTTGGTGTCATGTGATTTATTATATATGTGCTTTAACTGTAAAGATTTTCTTTTTGTTTCTAACACTTGTGCATGTCATATATTGATATCTTTGTTTGTAAATTTGTTTTTAAGTGTTACTTATAGTATTTCTAGATCATAAAAAAAAAGCAAAACATTTATGGCTTATTTAAGCCTACATTACCTTTAACATATACTTTTTAAATTAGTGTAAAATGATCTTCATCGCTAGAAATAATATCTTAATTTTTTTTTAAATCATCTCACTCTCCATCCATATTAGCTCTTCAGCCTGGTGAGCTAACCGCATGCCTTTAAGAGGGCCTGTGCTCTGTGTCTCATTGTGATGATGATTTACCAGCTTGTTTCACAGCCAGGGTAAAGATGCAGCTGGCTTGGGAACAGCGTTATTCATAGAAACTTACTAACCGGAAATGTGTCTTTGCCACTTTATTTCTTAAATGTAGGCGGAAAGATCCCACATGGAGGTCACAGTACCTACCTCAAATGGTGACCATGCACAGGTTTGTGCCGACAGGCCACTTCTTTCTTCCCCCTTCCCTCCTCAGTTTTTTTCTTGTCCCCATCTTCCCTCTCCTTAAACAAAATTATAAAATTGTAAGGTTCAGTGAAACTTCAACAAGCCAATATTTTATTATTTTTCTCTTTTTTTTGAATAATGGCAAAACAGAAGCTTGCAGAAAAATCTGAAGATCTGATAAGAATGAGGAAGGTTAGACATTTTTCACTCTCACAAAACTACACTGCCATCAACCATACTGACTTTTATAGTGCATTAAAAAGACAGTGATCCACTCTTTTCATTGATTTCTTAGTAATCAGAATACTTCTAAGTAATCTATATGTGTGTATGTACACACATACATATTATACCAAAGAAATTATAATTCTATGTTATATATTGAAGTGTCTCATTGATATAAACTTTCTGACAGGAAAAAAACATTTTAAACACAATAAAATAATTAATGAAGGCCAAACCTATCCAAGAAATATTTTACAATGGCACTATATATTCTTTAAATTATTCACAATATTTATTTTTAAATGATTTCTTTTTAAATGAAATATATTTATTTTGCAAACTGTTGCAGCAGAAACTCCAGGCATTGTTCATAACTGTGGGTTTGGCTGCTCTGCCCCAGTCTTCCAGTTTATGTAGTGGGATGAATCAGAATGTTGATGGGTCTTTAATGTAAAGTGCCTTTAGAGGGAACTGGATAGATAGTACAGTGGACAAGGTGCTCGCCTTGCATTTGGCCAACCCAGGTTCAATTACCATCTCCTCATCTGGTCCCCCTGAGCACAGATCCAGGAGTCACTGTGGCTTGGGCATAGTGGGTGTGACCCAAACCTTCCTCCCCAAAATACCCATAGGAAAAGTATTGGAGAGCTATCTAGTATTACAAAATATGAAATATGTCCAAAAGAGCCAATTAATATTTGAGAGCATTTTCTACTCGACAGAACATGAAATTTCAAAGCTTCTTAAAATCATGTGTATTAAGATAATCCTCAAACAGCTCAATTTCAAAACTGCACAACATGAAAGTTTCTTCTGTAAGAAGCCAGAGAGGCTGGGAGCACTGTCTGTTTAAGTCGCATCCAGCGCTGTCCCTGTTCATTTTCTCATGGTGACGTGTTTTCCATGTGTCTTCCCATTCTGTGACCATTTCATGTTTAGCTTATGCTGCACTGTGGACATTTCATTTAAATCTTTTTTTATTTGTTTGTTTGTTTGTTTGCCAAATTGCCATTTTTTTCCTTTTCCTGCAAGAACAACATTTTAATTTTTTTATGCTTTTCTGTTTTTCCCTCTTTGATTTTCACAGAAAAAGAGAGAGAGACTAGATGGTGAAAACATTTATATCAGACATAGCAATTTAATGTTGGAGGTTTGTATGAACTTGAAGCTTATTTCAGTTGGTTGCCTGTCACCTTCTGCATTCTTCACTGACCCCCTTTCCTCCTCTGCTGGATTTGATTTTGCATGCCATTGCATGGGTGTATTTTAGGTTTAAAACGCTTTTGCATGTTGGTAAACATGAGGATATGCAACCACCTCTTCCTTCTGACTCTTCAGTTTCCATCTCTGGTATTTACTAAGAAAATATATGATTGGAACTACCCCATCTGCCCATCATGCCATTGTTTCACCCTCTTTTAGAAAGTTCTGCCTTACTGTTAAAGACTTCTTAAATTCCCCGAGTGTATAGGTTCCCATATGTCCCAAGCATCAAATTTGTATCTTCTGAAATGAGGTAGTGTGGAAAAGTAGGGAAAATTATCACAGGTCAGAAGTTAACTTAAAATTTGAGTCTCCCAGGGCCAAGAATATAGATCGGTAGTAACACATGTGTCTTACATGAGTCAGACCCTAGTCTTGATTACCAGCACCACACACACGTACAAGATATTGATGTAAAAGTGTGGGGCATACCAGGCAATTACAGAAAATCAATCTGGGTGTGAAAGGGAAGTGTAGAGAAATAACGGACCAGAAGGTAAGAAGGGAACCTGACAGTTAATGAGTAATTAGTATGAAGTAAGGTACTTTAATTATAAGAATGAACCTGTGAGCGTGGGATTTTTAACAGGTTGACACTGGTGCATACCACTAGTGGCTCACACTTGAATGTGGTCTATTTAATTAACACAAATTGCAACCACTCATGTCATTGTGTTAAAGATGAATACATTAAGGTTTAGAGACATTAAGTAATTTTCTTATGAGCACAGAGCTAGTAAAATGATAAAGCTGAAATGTGAGGGGCCAGGGATGTACATCAGAAGTAGAGCAGTGATTTTGCAAGTGTGTGACCTGGATTTGATCCCATCACACGCAATCACGCGTGCGCACACACACACACACACACACATACAAACACACACAACACATACAGCTAGAATTTGAGAGAGGGTGTAACTAACACTAAGAAACTATCTACCTTACCCACTTCAAAAATGCAACATACTATCTCCTACACGAATTGTTAGGTCATTTTCCTATTATATCCAACTCTGGTCAGATTTTTATCAGACCTATGTTGATATAATTTATCTAATTTGGGGCTTCACCTTGGATAGGAAAGTATAAAACTGGGGTCTCTGACATGATTCAGTGATAGAGCAACCTGCCTTGCAGTTCCAAGTCTTGAATCGGATCCCTGGCACTGTCCCACATGCCGAGTGAGAGACGCCCTGACAGCCCCGCAGTGACGTGTGCCATCACGGGGACACCTGCAGGTGTGTGCAAGTGTGTGCCAGCCCCCAGCAAGCACCACAGCCAGGCATATGTGGTCGTTAGTCTACACCACTACGAAGGGAGAGGAAGGGGAGAATTCTAATTAGGAGAAATTCCATGAGAAAAAAAGGAAATAGGAATTAACCTGTGTGGAAAAATTGTGAAGCCATATTACTTTAAATGTCAGAAAAATTCATAACAGAAGCTGGGGACTAGGTTATCTTATAGTTCTATTTAAGACAGAGCCAATTGTCTTTCATGAGGCTGACCGCAGTTCAAATTGCGGCACCACGTGTAGTCCCCAGAGCACCACAAGGAATACTCTCTGAGCATTGCCAGGTGTCACACAAACCTCCCTATTCCCCTCCAAAAAAAAAAAAAATCCAGAAGAAATAAATTAAGATATTAAGATTCTACCTTAAGTATACAGGAATTATAAACATGTTCAAAGATGATCAGCATAATACCTGCCTTCAGGAAATTTAAATGTGAAAAAGCAGGGAGAAAGAAAACAGTAATAGTAATAAAATGAGTGCAGGTCATAAAAATTATGACAAATTAGACAATCTGCTTTGTTAATGAAAGGATTATCACTGAAGTGATAGATTAGGAAATTAACTCTGAAGAGAGTATATTTTAGCTGAGTCCTGGAAGATGAACATATGTAAAAATGTGTGGATATTATTAAACTTGAAGTCTGAAGAAACATTGTAAGGTAGATCTCTGGTTTAATACTATATATGAGAGAGAGAGAAGGCCTACTCCATATAAGGTACTTTCATAAAAGTAATGAAAATTAAAGTTAGTCTTTGTTAACCGTTAGCTGTGTCTAGAGCAGGCCAGATACTGACAGATACTGAGTGCTGTACATACGTTCACCTCACGGGATATGAGATTTTCCAAGTCTGAACCCAAGGATTTTTCAAGGCTGATACCTAGATCTCTTTGCTTTAGCCATGACTAAAATTTGACCTGAATGGTTCCACTTCTGATTAGTGGGGCCAGAGCAATATTGCAGCGGGTAGGGTGCTTGCCTTGCCCACAGCGGACCTGGCTTAGATCCCCAGCACCGCATACTATCCCCCAAGCATTGCTAGGGTGGTCCCTAAGGCTCTAAGTTAGATCCAGGACTAAGTTTGTCGCACCACTGTGTGCGACCCCCCCCAAAAAAAATACTTCTGAGATAAGGAAGAGTATCAGATGTTCATTGATCTGTATTCAGCAATATAACATCCCCCAGTTCCAAATTCCAAATATGCCATTCATGCTTCCTCCAAACATGTAGTGCCAATCATATATTTCTCATCTGTTCCCTTGAGGTGTGTTACTGCTTCTGAGACTCACAAAGTCCCTGTGTGTGGTGTGATGTTCCCCAGCATTTCATTGACAACTGTGACAGGAAATTTCTAAATCAGTGTGTGTGTTTAAAAAATTAAAGCTACTAACTCCCTTTTAAGGACGTTTTGTATTTAATGAAGTCTTTGGTTTGATCACTGATAAAACTGCACTAGGCTACAAAAAAAGTCTCTGACCAGAACAGCCAAAGTAATATGGCTAACCAGTTTTTATAGCTATTATAGATTTCCCCTTCCCCTTAGGAAGTTCTGTCAAATTACCTCTCACTCTAGCAGGGTTTGGTTTGGGGGTTGGGTGTTTTTTTTTCTTTTTTTTCCTCTTCTCTCTCTCTCTCTTTTTTTTTTTTTTTTTTTTTTTTTTAGTATCCCTCCTCCCCCTACTCCTACCCCACCCTCACTAATGCTTTGTTCTGGCACAAATAAGGTCGAGTTCATTTTTAGATCTACCGCCTCCTCCTCCATCTCCCAGAGAGAACCTGTAGCAAATGTCTATGACAAATTCTATTTGGAACAGGTCCCTTTGAGACTTAATTTTACTCTGTGCCCCCACAGGTTTCTAATAGAGCCAGCTAAGAAGGATGGAGAAAGTTCTTTCAGAAGCTCCTGGTTATATTGAAACATTTATTTTCTCAGGTTCCAAGTCAATTAGAAACTAGGCCAGAAGGGTAACAACAAATCACCATGCTTTCATATTAAGAGGCTAGCCACGAAAGCTGGGATTTTACCATGGCCTCTCTTGCTCCTTTTTGTTTTGCTCCATTCACACTTCTAAGTCTTCCACATTAGTTAAGTTGATCTTGGCCCAAGCAGATTTCATTTCCGGTCCGGAGCTGGGTCACAGGGCCGTACTTGCCTGGTGGGTCTCAGTTTCTCCGCCTAGCCCAAGTCTTTGCCTGAACTTGTTCGTGCTTTCCTCTGCCTAGCAGAGGAAAACGTGCTTTTCTTGCTTTCAGCCAGAACAAAAGTGCAAACTGTTGTTTCCCCAGGGTGAAGCCCATGTTCATGAGTTGTACTTGCCTTTCATTCCAGCAAGCAAGGGGTTCTGCTGTGGGGGAGCTACAGGATTGCCCTTTCTGGGATTTCCTCCTTCACAGATATAGAGCAAATATACGTTGTTTGGTCTTGCAAAAATTAAAAAAGAATAGGCAATGAATCTGATATTCTGAATGATTCCAGCATAAAAATTATATCTTTTATGTCATTACTTTTCCAATATTATCTGCCCTTTGACATTGCTTTTGAAAGAAAAAAATTAAAGAAAAATTTTTAAAAATATTTTTTAGTGAATATATCTTATGGAAAAAATGTTCTAAAACAAAATTTGATGGAGTTTCATTTTACTTTCCTCCCTTCACCCCAAAGAAGCTGTTTTCCTTGGAACCGAAGAAAATTTTAGAAAGACTGATCCCAAAATTGACATTGCATATTAGGAGATATACTTAGATTATGCTTTTCTTGGATACAGAGCTGCCTTGATATATAATAAATAGAGAATTTTAGCAGTCATCAAGTCCTGGTCTCCCACACATTTTGATCTCAGGCATAGATATTTCAAATTCTGTTTTTGCAGAGAAGTATGTTAAACAAAGAACATTTGAGTTTTATCTTCAAGTCGTATTTTCCAGATCATTTTTTGGTCAACTCCCCTTTCTGAAAGTTGTTATTTTCCCCTTCTTATAAACAATAATATTGTTTCTAGCCTTATTGAGCTTATATTATTTCATTTCTCCCTGGAACTTGCTTCTTGTTGTTCAGTATTCAACTTTGCTGGAACCAGTTGAATTATTTTAAATTACCATGGAGATAATACTCTTTGATATCTAGTATTTAATACACTCTTGTTAAATCAGTCCACCAAATCAGTGAAAGCTACTAGACAAAGGTTTCTATTTTGAATTGTACTCAGTGCTGAAATGAAACTGTCAGAGGACAAATATAAGACTTCCAGTTCATGTGAATATTATGGTAAAGGGGAAATGCTATTATATAACCCTAAGTGATTTTTTTTTCAGAGATAGTAACAGTTTGCTCTAGAGACATGAGCCAGAAATTTCATATAACAGAAGGGTTATTCTGATTTATAAAAACCCATGCGACCAGACTGATAGTATAGCAAGTAGGGCGCTTGCCTTGCACACGGCTGACCTGGGTTCAATCCCTGGCACCAATATGATCCCTCCAGCCCCACCAAGAGTGATCTCTGAGTGCAGAGCCAGGAGTAAATCTGTGACCCCCCGCCCCCCATCCCACAGGAAAAAAAAAACAAACGGGGCCAGAGGTAACTAAGTAAACTGAAGCACATACTTTGCATGCCGGAGCCCTGGGTTAGAACCCTACCCACAAATGCTCCTCCTAGCACCTCTGGGAGTGATCCCTGAGCACTGAATCCAGAGTACCATGGGGTATAGTCTGAACCCTCCCCACCCCCATCAAAAACAGCAACAAAACAAAAGCCTGCTAGTAGTAGGGTTGCAAAACTATCTCCAGGTAGAAATAAAGGGACACTTCTGCTTATAATTCCCTAGTTGAATCTTCCACTGTGCCTTGATAGATTTTCCTTTATCTGGTTGCTCTCTCCATCCTGCCTGGGTTGAGCCTAAGTCAGTTCATCGTAGGCAGTGGCTAATTGAGTTGTAAGATTATCATCTTGAAATAAGGAGTTAGAAATCTAGCACTGGGTCACAGTGGAAAGAAAAGTTTCAAAATTAAGAACTGTTTTCTTCATGGATCGCGCAGTTGCTAAGAGTAGGGAGGTTATGTTGCTTCACTGCTTCCAAGAAAAGCATTCTGTATTACAATAGGAGGGGAAAAGCAAGCAAATGAATCCTGTTGTCTATTGATAATTTGAACGCAATGTGTGGATCATATGTCTCTCCTGGAGGTGGTGTGTTTTCTGCCAGTGCCACTTTGTGATGGACTGCCCTTGATACAGTGGTTTTTCTGAATATTCATTGCTTTGTACCTTTGTCCTTTCAACTGTAGGACTTAGACAAAAGTCAAGAAGAGATCAAAAAACATCATGCCAGCATCAGTGAGCTGAAAAAGAACTTCATGGAATCTGTACCAGAACCAAGGCCTAGTGAGTGGGACAAACGCTTGTCCACTCACTCCCCCTTCCGGACCCTTAACATCAATGGGCAAATCCCCACAGGAGAAGGAGTGAGTACTTTGTGTGAGGTTGTGAGAAGGAATGAAATCAGTATTTTTGCTTATTGATTTTTTATATTTGAAATTATGTTTTGAGCTAAAACTTAGCTTTGGTTCCTTACCCATTTATTGAAGCTTTAAGGCATTCATAAACACTTGTTTTTTAAGTTGTATGACTACTAGGTCAAATAATAGGACCATTTGGACCATTTAGACAATTGTTGATTAGACTCTGAGAATTATCTCTGCAGCTGTATGCTTCTGGCTAGCGTGTGTTTACAAATTGACCAAAAGCCAGTGGAACTTTATGTTCAAACTGTACCGTCAAGAACTGGAGAGTTTACTAAATTTAGTAAGATCAAAATTGGGAAAGGATAAACATTATTTTTAACTTTATTTGAACATTTGCACAACTTAGAAATGTCTGGAATGGTTGACCACAATTATATAATAAACCAGGGAGGCCCCTAAGTAAAAAAATACAGAAGAGCAAGTATTAATGACAGTGTTTCGATTTTAGAAAAACTATGTATGATTTTTAAAAATCTTAATGACTAACATCAAACTTGATTATACTGTCTTAAAAAATAGTTTCAATTAGAGAACGCCAGAAATATCTTTCAGGGACTGCTCTTTTTGTATTATTATTGTCATTACCTATCTCAGAAATTTTATACCTGAAAAAATAATTCTTTATAGTGTGACTATCTTAAAAGTTACTGTGTGCACATTCTTAAAAAGTGTCTTCTGAATCTGTAGCCCATACAAGTTAAATACTTATACAGATAGTCACAATGATGCAGTGAGGGATTAAAATTATTTTAAAAGTTTCATTTGTGCCCCCTGCCTCAAAGTAATAGCAATCCTAATTAAGAAAGGTAAGGTGATAACAGAAGAACTTTTGAAAAAGAATCTTGTTTTTGTATTCAGAATTTAGTAGTGATGGTAAACAATCTAACTTACCCTTTGGTTTCTGGAACTGGAGACGTTCATAGAAGTTGGTTTTATTTATTTTTAATGACTAAACTGGGCTAACAGATCTCCACATAGAGCTGAACCAATTTTACCAAGACTGGAGAACTCTCGAATGACGAGCTGCTAAATGGAGTTTTCCAGGGACTGTAGATGCAGTTGTGTGATTGTTCCATTTTCCTGGCCTCTTGGCTTCGACTCCCTCCCTTATGTAAATGGCCATTTGCTCTATATTCTAAATTTAAAGGAAGTGCTCGGAATGAGACAGTGCCTCTGCTTCCTCTGAGTCTGTGCTGCCTTGAGAAAGTCCACGTTACTGTCTCCCCAGGTTAATCCTACCTGCAGACCATAACTGCATCTTTTCTAGCTTTCTTTTTGACTGTGCAAGTAATGAAAGATGTTCAGCTTTGAAAGATGAATGTTCGTAGCTTCCATGCAGCTGGCCAAGGACTTTGGCTATCAGTCCTCCCCGAAGACTCCCAGTGGAATTCATTGATTTCCTCCCTCCAAAAAGAAAAGGAAAAAAATGAATAGGAATGTAACTCTCTTGGATGAGACTTTCTGAATTTGAATTGCTCTCCATTTCCAGAAAGTGGTATATATTTTAATAGAAATCACCTCAAGGGCTGACTTGGGGAATGTTTATGCCATTCTGTGGGATTTTAAAGAAATTACTTTTTTATGTTGGTTTGTGGGCCACACCTAGTGGTGGTTAGGGGCTGCTCCTGGCGGTGCTCAGGGACGTGCCGTGCCAGGGGTTGAACCTGGGTCTCCTGCATGCAAAGCATGTGCTCCAAATAGTTTTTACAAATTATAATTGGATCAGTTGAGGGTATTTAAGCCACTTTGCGAATGTATATTATACCTTTAAATGAATAATGGGATAAATCCAAACTGTGTTTTGATATAAAAGCGGTTGCTTTTTAACAAATATATAGAATGATTCCACTTTCTGGCCTATCTTAACTTTTTAACAGTCAGGACAGTATTTCTGTTCTCTGGGGATTTCTCTTCCACCCTTGACAGCATTGTTGTTGCATTGCAAGGCAACTGAATTTTTTGTAATTTGTGTATGACCAGGTGAAGAAAACCTCTATCCTTCCCTCGGAAAGAAAGGTTGGTGGGCCAGAGGTAAAGCTGCTGTTATGACTTGTGCTTCTCAATCAGAATTTGCTCTTGTCATGGCACTAAACAGATACCCCCAGAACTGAACAGCAGCTGCTGAGAATATTTTTTTTTTCTTTTGGCTATACTAGTAAATTCACACCCACAGCATTTTGGCCTAACACATAACATTTCCACTGCTGCAGCTTTTGCAGCTTTCAATTTGCTTATTTCGGCGCATGGCTGGTTGAAAAGCTGCATGAAGATGTAAATTTGTACTCAGAGAGAAAATGAATTTAATTGTACCCTATTCTTTTTATGTTGTCTTTCTTCTCCTTTGTTTATCATTATGATTTTGCATCCTTTCCCGCCCCTCCACCTTTTTTTTTCTGTTTTGCTGACCAGTCCCCCAGCTACTTTCTCCCTGATACATATCACTTTGGGGTGTGCAAAGAATCAGTGGCAAATTTCCAAACTGATCAAAGAAGGCTGGCTCAACTGAGAGAGCTGAGAGCCAAGTTTTTCCTTTCCTAGATAACGTCTGTCTCCACTGGATGGCAGAGTTCAATTGTAGGGAGCAAAAACCTCATTTGTACAATTGGAAAAGACTAACATTCTTTGAAAGAGTATCAAAAGTATCCCCTTAATGTGGTGGATAAACTTTTATGATGGTCACTATTCTTATTTAAATCACAACTCTGAGAGAAGGGGAGGGAATTTGCAATTGAGATTTGTGGGCTTGGATGTTTTTTTAGGAGGGGGTGCTCCTTAGAGGCACATTGAAGCTTTTGTACTTTTTTTCCCCCCCTTTTGCAACCTTTAGAACATATAGGGTTAAGGTTTTTATGCCCTTGAGCTAAATCTAATTGCCATACTGAATGAACAGTTGTAGTTTTTTAAGTCTATAAGAAGAGAAATGAGGATAATTTTTTATATTCTGCCATTCTATTTGTAAAAAAAAAAAAAGTAACTTTTCTGATGGCAAGAAGAATGCTTTATTATTGGAGTCGCCTAGTTATTCTAAAAAAAAAAAAAACCTGATGGTACCAAAGCAGTGAACAGCGACCCAAAATTTATACGTGAATATTCCTTAAAGGAGGAATAAATACTAAAGGAAGTCCAGTGATTCCTTGAACTTTCAGAACTTCTGGTATTGATTCATTCAAAAAATTGCCGCATATTCTACTGTTATAGAAACTTTGCCAGGATAAACTGCCAAAGTAAAAGTAAGATAAAGAATGTAAAAAAAAAAAAAGATCTTCCCAATTCCTTTGCACACTCCCAAGTATCACTTTCGAGCATTTTCCATCTGTCATTTTGTTCATCTTTCTCTGTCTTTCTTAATCTTCTACCGTGAAAGCAGACACAGGAACGTGCTCTGTTAGTGCAGGATGAAGAGAAAGTTAAAAGGCAAGCGAGATCTCCTGAAAGAGCCTTGCCCCGGCATGAAAATGAAGAAATTCTTCCCAAGGTTTCTATTCCAATCCCTGAGGATCTCAAGTCTCTCAAAAAATGCCACCTCTACTCTAGTACTTTTCCATCACCTCGTATTCCTTTCATGATGTCTTTTCTCCTGGTTCTTGCCTTGGCCGTTTGGTGGTTAGTCTTTCTGTGATCGGAAAACAGGGTGCTCTTCTGAAATGTCAAGACTAAAACCATTGAACTTCTGTTGTTGGCTTCTGCTGTGTTACTTCCTGTATGATGCCTCCAATCTTGGTAGTTCACTGTCCTAGAGAAGCCCTTGTCATCATTTTTCTGTCAAAAAAAAAATGTTAACTCTTTGTAGAATATGTATCATGGGGTACAAAGAAGTAGCAATGGATTGTGAAGTCAGCCTTCCTCACAGAAGCGTATGGAGGTTAGAGAACCCAGATCTAAGCATTTGGCAGGTCGGTATGCCCCCCCCCCCAATTGTTGACTCTGTCCTGCATGTCCTTACTGTTTCCTGTGGCTATGTCCTCTCCAATGTATTGTGCAAAGCAGGATACCTTAGAAACAGTTGATGGAATGTTTTCCTGATCACCTTATAGTCATTTGTGTGGCATGGGCTCAGTAGTTTAAGAAGAAAAAAAGTCAACTTGCTAACTTTTCAAAAGCCTTAAAATGATACATTTTAATCTAAGAACCGGTAATCACTCCTTTTCTTGAGACATCAAACCAGTATATACAAAGGCCTTTTTTTAGAAAAGGGCTTTTGACTTCTGTGGCCTTTTTATGTGTATTTGAGAAGTACAGGGACAAACATCTTTATTCTGCCTGGAGTACTGAAGAGGTTTATCTGCAAAGGTTAAATGCTATTATGGATAAGTAGAATGTTGATGATTTAAGGAAAACGGTGCTGGTGCCCCTCGCCTCCAGCCAGGGCTAAATTTCCTAGACAACTACATCTTTAATAGTCCTGGGATACAGATTTATTCAAGATCTGTACATAAGCATATCCTTCCCTGAATTAAAATACTGTGTTACTCACTTCTTTATGACTTACATAATTTTATTGCTAGAAGCAATAGTTAGCCACTATGATAAGCTTAAAATAGATCGGTACATTTTGTTTTCCTGATAGTTTTCAGACCTGTTCATTCTTCCATATGTTTTGGATCAATTGTTTTTAACTGACAGTCTTGTGAGCTAAAGTTCTGTCGTGACTAGTATGTGCCCTTTGCTTGCATGTTTTATTCCCTGAAGTAAATATGTGTGTGCCCTCTCTTTACAACACAACTGGGATGCCTAACCGTTATTTTTTTTAATCTCAATATTAATGAAAATTCTTGCATGTAGATTGTTTTTTATAGCACTTGAATGTATCAATATGGATGATTTGATTAATGTTGTCTCAAATGTTTGTTTTGAAATTGAATTCATAGGATTAATCAAACTGAGATTATTGCACCTTGTTTTACTTCTCAAATGCTTTTCAGTTGATGAAACTTATAAACAAGATTTTTTGTTTTTAAGATGTCTTCTTAGAGCAAAAAGAGTGTGAGAGAGAACAGGAAAGTCGAGAATCGTTCGTTTTTCAGTATCCACCTCCATTGTCTTATTGTCTCTGTAGAAAAAGGGACTTGTAGAAATTGTCCTCTGGTATTTTCTGAACTTCTTTGTCATTATAAGCTTTCTTCAAAAACTGGAAAAGAAGCAAGGAGAGTGTTAAATTTAAAAGTCTGGTATGAATGTTCATCTTTCACATCACAGGCTATGTCTGTTCATAACAAATATTTTATAATTAAACATGTTCATTGATTCACTTATAATAAGGAGAGACCTCAGATTGACCTGAAATATTGTAAAGCTATCCCCTAATCCAAAAAAGAATTATTATAAGTATTCCCCTGTGAAATAGAAATATAAGCATTTTCTTTATGAAATGATAAAGCTATAGTATTGGTTAGATTCTTTCAAATCTTTTTTTTTTCAAGGATATAAAAAGGAAATAAACTTAGAATTTTATTGATACTTTTATAACTGTCTCAGATTATATTTCCAGTTTTAATTCTTGTACATGACTTTTTATTGTTATTGTAAATTTCACCTTGAATTTTGTTTTCCTTTGTCTTGAAATTATTCCAAGTTTATTAAAAACCCAGTGTAATTTTTTTGAAGTGTAACAGGAGAGCCTCAGAGAGCTTTACTATGGTCAAAGGAAAGACCTTTTCTTCTGTTATTAGGATAAGAATGACCAGGAGGAAGGGTTAAGCTTTTGTACTGGACAAAGCTAAAAGTGCAGGCTCAAAAGACATACTCGTCACTATTATCAGAGAAAAAATATTGGATGTTGCAGCTTTGTATTACCGACTGTTAATGCTGCCAGTATTTGTAACAAAGAGCTGTAAATATAGTCTTGGTTTCATTCTCAGATCTCATTCCATTTTCAACACCAGAGACAGATTCAAAACTGTATTGGATTTACCCTGGTTCTGCTTCTTAATGGCAGTTGATAAGTAAGAAACAGTTTGGACTAAAAGTGTCAATTCAGACCAATAAAAAGTCTTGGGTTTTTTCCTTGGTTTTGTCATTAATCCTTTCCAGAGTGACTCTGAGAAGTTCACTTAACTCCTTATGGCCAGATTTCCTTTTCATAAATCTAGAGACAAAACTACCTCATGAGAATGAGTCTGTAACATGTTCCATGAAAAAGAATCTAAAACATATTCCAGGAATCAGAACCTCTGGTTATTGTTCAGTTATTGGTTTTTCGGGGGTGGGCTGATAGAAATTAAAAAGGAAATGAACACACATTAACTTCTTGGACTGTTTTATGTGAATGTAAGCAATTAGATAGCTGGGTTTATTCCATATGCTGCTTCCTGACATTTGATGAAGTACTTAAAACTACTGAAGTTTAAAAATGTCTTTCCAAATTTACCATACTCTTAAGAAAATGCATCTTATCCAAATAGAATAGAGTGGACCATTCTTGAAAATGAGCCTAGCATCTATCTTTGGGGTGACTTTTGGCCATTCCTTCCTTAAGCTAACAAATGAACTAACTACAAAGGCGATTCATTTTGCATGAGTCAATTTTACTATTTGTTTGGATCTCCAGTGAAAATTTTAAGTGGAGAAAATGCTGACTGATTTATTGACTAAGATTGGATGAAGGATTATCTGTGGTTAGTTTTCCAATTTTATCATCCTAGCATACTTTCTTTTATTAAATATTATTGTAAACTTTACTCTGAAATTTCTGTTGCATATAAGCCAATTCACTCTATTCTACATCCCTAAGTCACTTCTCTAATACTTCTTAAGGATAAGCATGTAATAGGACATGCTAAGTTTGTTTTCTTTGCGGGGGGGGGGGGGGGGGCGGGAAACAAATCCAACAGTGCTGGCTCTGTGCTCAGGGACCAAGCCTGGTGGTACTTGGGGGATCACATGTGGTGCTAGAGTTTTGAATCAGAACCATAGATACATACAGCCACATGCCAGCAAACCCCTTAACCTTTATATTATCTCTCCTAATGAAATTCAGTTATTTCTAGGAGGCATATTATCTCTTCTAATGAAATTCAGTTATTTTTAGGAGG